TGAAAGTTAAGCTTAAATTAAGCCTCATAAAGATGGTATATGCCTTTACTAACTTCATATCCAAATGATGCGCTTTTATCTCTGTGTGATTGAAATATGATTTTATTCAATTACGTATTTTGCGTTCCGGACAAGTCGTTTCGGGCCATTTCATTTCGCTAAGCTTTCTGTACACACTAATTTTCTTTCAGTGGAAGACTATGTATGACTACTACATTTGAAAGACAAGAAATCCTTTGAAAACACCTGATTCACACAAAATACCATACAAGAGTGAGATTAGTGTCAATACATTGCACAAAAAGGTGTTAATCGACAAAGAAATACATGTAAAGACTTACAATAAAATATACACGTACATCTCTACTTACCGATATCAAATGCAAGTCACTACCAACGAACATTTCAGCTAAATAATGCTCAAAATTGTCACAAATATCCCCCCGAAAAACCATTTAAGAAATCATAAATTTAAAAGAAAATAATTACTACTTCTAAGAAAGAGGCGCGATGGCTCAGTGGTAGAGCAGTAGTCTCTTATCCGGGTGTTCCCGGTTTCGAAATCAATTCAATGCGATAATGCCTTTTGGTAAGGCATTAATCCTTATTACCAAGTCCCTCTAAAAGGACTTAAAGCCGCCGCACAGTTGGCCTGGGAGGAACCAAGTGCGCCAAAACTCATGTTTGGGGACTTATTTTTCATAAATCCAGAGGAAATGTTTGGATTTCCAGGGATTTTTGCTTAAATGTTATTACCAACATCTTCTCTGATGTCTAAGCTTTAAGTTGATACCAGATTTGGCTGCCCGTTTTGGCCCGTTATTATGTTAGAGCCGTTTTCTTGCAACATTACCCCGAAAAAAGTGTTTATTTTGGTCCGCGGTGTCAGAACAAGTGTCACGCGCCCCCTCGCGCCGTGATTTATGACCACGAATCTTTCATGATTCAGCCGCGGACCCCAAAAACCCACATTTTTTCGGGGCAATGTGGCAAGGAAAATCGGCCCTAACATAACAACTGGCAAGATCGGGCAGCCAAATTTGGTATCAACTTTAAGCTTAGACATCAGAGAAAATGGTGGTATTAAAATATAAGCGGAGATCGAAACATTTCTTCTGGATTTATAAAAAACATGGATAATTAGTCCATCTTTCAGTGAATTACCCTATAATATATCATGACGATTTGTGTTTCTATTAAATTTAACCCATTCATTCAACGAAATGAACTATCAGGAATATGTGAGAGCAATTTCATATCAATAACTTAAAAACTTCATGTTGAATTGAAAGATTTATAAAATAAGTCACTTTTGTACTAAAACTGTGGATATGTGAATATGTAGGATTTTGCTGTTTGAAGTAGTAAATATTTCACTGAGGTATTCCTCTATGTATTACCTTTCAACTGGGTAAGAAAAAATTGAAAAAATTAAATCCCCCAAACTTAGTTTTGGCGCACTTTGGTTCCTCCCTGGCCCACTGTGCGCCGGTTCCCCGATTGCTTCATTACAAGCAATAACCTTCTTTCTTAGTAGTCAGGTAAAACAAATAAACCTCCCAACCAAATACCTGATCCATAAAGCTATAAGTGTTATTAATGCACTTCTTGTTTGGCAACTTTTGAATAAATCAATATATTTCAGTAACATTTATAACTGAAACATAATACATGTAGTTTACAGATTTTCTACTTCATTATTTTGTTAGTTCACATCAGAATCCTTGTCCGATTCCATCACCTGTTGCACAGACGACCTTTCTTTCATCTTCTGTCTTACGCTGTTCAGGGTGGCTTGGGTGTCTTCTGCATGAGGCGCCCTCTCTAGGATGTCTGACAGACAGTGCTCGGCCTCTTCAAGCAGATCTCTCCTGACCTGTATAACACAGAGGTTATGCTGGGCCCGCACGTTTGACGAGTCCAGGTCCAATATCCGCTGAAACAGCTGGTGAAAAAGAGGTATGATATCATGAAAACAACTATGTTCTTTTTTATTTTTCTTCTTCTACTTCTTCTTCTGCTAATTTTTAAAGGGCTACGTAGCCTATCACGAAGAAAAGTAGTGTGAGGAAGACAAAATGATTTTTTTAGTGGGATAAGGGTATTAAATGCCTGAGGAGTAGTCCCTGGAAATACTGAGAAAAAAAATGTTAGTAAAGGGTAATTCATCCATTGCAACCAGCTTATTTTTGAGGTAGCCAAACATATATGAGAAAAAGAATGGCAAAAGTTTTAAATAATCGACGAATAATAGAAAATTATTAATGTTTGAAGTACGAAATCAGCTAATTCTATGCAATCTTAAAGGGTTATCCAACCCATGAAATAATTCATTTGCATGGAAGCGGAAAATTAAGAGTAACGGAATGGTGAGAGTTCTAAAAAAAGTATGAAATCAACTAAATTACGTTTTATTTTTAAAATATAGCGGTAAAAGTAAAATAATGTTGCCAATCTGAAAAACAAAATGTGATCAATGAAGCCCTGAAAATAAATCTTGAAATTGTCAAACAAATCTAAAACTTACCTGTTGAGATTGGACTTCATCTTGAAGTGAATTTAGCAGGATTTCTCCTAGTAGGAGCATGCTTTTTGCAATTTCTGTGTGGTTTGGGTGATGCTGCAAAAAAAATATCAAAAAAATCAATGTCACTAATTTTTGTTCATCAAAGAATTTCATAAATTTCTTTTCATTTTGTATTTAATTCACAAACCATAATAACAATTACGATATGAATTAAGCCATGTTCCTTTCATTTTCTGCTTCTATTGAAACCAACTTAATATTAGGGTGGACTTCCCATATAAATATTCTTACAAATGAATAGTCTGGAGGAAGCCATACTGAAAACAGAATTATGACAATAAGAGTCCTCCTTTAAAGGTAGTATGTCCCATTTGCAGGCCAAAAAATGACAAGGTTAAATTCCAACGGCATTTGAAAGACAATACTAATTTAGAACTTCCCTTAAAAAAGGGGGGCTTGAAAATGTCTTTAAGTGGGAAAATAACGACTATTAGTTGTCGAATCGACTTAGGAGCTTTAGAGCCAGTAAGTAATAGTCTCATTTTTCAGACCATTGTACCGAATGGTCGTAGGTTTTATGCTGCGCAAAGATTCAATCAGTTTAATTTTGGCCATTACAAGAAGTGAGTTATGCTCATGTACCCTTTACAGCTCGTTTTATGCATGTTATTACCAAAGAAGAAAAAAAACCAATCAGTCACTCGATAGTGTCTGACAGTGAATTCTAGCAAGTAAACAGGTTTACTTGCATAATTTGAATATTAGGACACTGCTAACGTTTAAATTTCACAGATAGGATATGCATGACATATTCATAATTCCTGCAAAATTTGATGTTGGCTGCAAAAGGGACATGGTATCTTTAAGGTAATCAATACACCTAAAAAAAATATTTGGCTGACACGATTGTAAAGACCTTCACTAATTCAATCTCAGCCAATTTCAACAGCTCAACTGTATGTCACCTTTTGAAAAGTGAAAATATTCATGTATATGACCCGTAATACGGAAATGTAATCGAAATATGATTAAAGGCACGACGCATACACAATTGGGTATTGAAATTGCCCTAAGTCGTTTTTCAAAAGTCGTTGCGATCGACTTGGATGTAGATGTAAATTCCTTACCTTGAGGAGAGTTTCTAAATAAGGTTTGGCCTGGAGAGGGCGCTCTTCCTCAAAATGAATATTAGATGTGTTGACAAGAGCTTGATAATTAGACGGTTGGATCTAGGAATGTGAAAGGAGAAAAAAGGAGACTCTAGGCCTGTCAATCAAAAATCATTCTCAAATGGCAGTGATTATATGCCGCAGCTATAAAATCTTTTTATAAATGAAAGCCCACCACACAATGTATTGTCCCACTGACATCTGATTTGAGAAGAGATTCTAATTTCTGAGATAAATTAATGTATTTTGGAAAATCGTCCCAACAGTCACAACAATCATGCATTCAGAGAACTCAGATAAATTAAAGGCCCCATCGACTGCAAATCATAGTGATATTAGACCAGTCACAAGAGACAATCACCAGACGCAACTTCTGAAATCCATTAAAGGTAATACAAAGTTTTGGGAAATTTTGAAAATTGGGTGGATAGTCATTCTTTACAATTTTGATACATTCGGATGCCCCTGTGGATGTATTATAACCACTAAAAAATTTAGCCCCTAAATCGCTTCTGCTTTCGAGAAAAATGGAATATAAAAATTTAGCGGTGCTCCCGGTAAATTTTGATAAATTTCAAATAGCTCCTACGGCCATACAATAGTAGCTGCGACCATGAAAATCTCTGAATATGTAGTTGTGATATATAATTTCCAAACGGGAATAGCCAGTCGGTCGATTTTAGTCAAGAAACATTGTTTTATAGCTTAATTAATATCTTGACCTTGAGAGGGAGCTATACAGCATAAAGAGTGTATTATTTACAATTTCATAACTTTAGACTCGATTTCAACCGAGACAACGATTACTGAATATTGTAGGATCATTATGCTTTCAATATGTTCATTTGAAGCAAATTCATGACCCCATACCAAAACTTTATATTACCGTTAACAGGTTAATACTTTGAAAACAACAAATAGTGGTGAATGCAGACCTTTATCCTCCAACGCAAAGCAGTGCGTACAAAAGGCATGGGAAAATCTTGCAAAGTCAACCAGCTGTTGATACACAAATAAACAAGAACTAATGATCCTCCATACACAAGGAATTGTTTTTAAAATGTTCACCCCAAGGGCTTTCTTTTCAAAATGAACACATTTTGGTTCATTATTTAGTAAAAAGTGTGAAATAAAACTGTCAGATAAAAACGCCGGGAGAATTGGGAGCAGCCAACTCAGCACCACGGCACCCGTACGGCTTAAAAAACTGTCCCGGCGCCCGTCGGCACTTTACGGCAGAAAATTCCCAAAATGTCTGTTTTTACTCGACGTACGGGACCCGGAGTGTATATGTGAAAGCCCCATTAAGGCGACCCTACGGTGCCCATACGGTATCCTTGCGGTATGTGGCACAGCCTGCAGGCAACGTAATGCCCACAAACGGCTCCCGTACGCTCGATGCACGCCATCCGTACGGCCCCCGTGGCAGTCTGCGCCGTGCGTGGAGCAGGAATATCTCCCCGCAGCCGCCTTGCGACTACCTTGCTTGTCATCCTTAGTTCATCTTCGTGATAGACTGTATAGCCCTTTGAAGATTACCAGAAGAACATCAACATTTATCAATTCAACATCATTTACTAACATTTCAAAACCATAATGACCCAAAATTAATGTAACAGCCATCACTTCTTTTGGACAATTGTGTTACTGACGCTGCCACTTCAGGATGTTTGAATTTAGTCATGCGTGACTTCTTGATCATGATTTTGGTGTCATATCAAAGAAGAGAAATTGAGCTTACCAATCATATATACATTAACCAAGGAATAATTTGAAATTATCAATTTCTTTACCTGTGAAGTTTGGTTTCCTTTCTTCAGGGACACCCTGTGTATATATATGGTAAGTCATATATAAAAACAGCAGGTTGACTTTGCAAACATTTCCTCATGCCTTGTTATACACACAGCCTCGCAGTGCACGATAAGAGCTCTGTACTCATCGTGTGTAAATAGCTGTTTTCAAAGTATTTGGCTGTTCTTGGTTTTTCAGAAGTGGTTTATAACTGACAGATACATGTACCTTGCATGCTCCCATAATTATTATCCCATCACACTGTCCTCCAACTCAACTTTATCTAATTTAGCCCATAGCAGTTCAGAAATAAAATGAATCAGCTTTTCCTCCTCAAACTGGAGACAATCATTTTTATGTTCCACTCTCACAGTTTAAAAAATAAAAAAAATAAAAAATAAATCACACTGTCCTCCAACTCAACTTTATATTTAGCCCATAGCTGTTCAAAATTAAACTGAATCAGCTTTTCCTCCTCGAATTGGAGACAATCATTTATATTTTCCACTCTCACGTTAAAAAAAAAAAAAGTTGTATTGAAGTGAAAACGTGTGAATGAAAATTACAAAGAATGAACAAGAAATTGCCAATTTGTACACGAAAATATAGATTTATAAAGGTCACTCTGCATTGCTAACTTTGAACATTTCTACTCAAGTTTAATTTGTAATTCAAAGCATTCCGACTTGATCAAAAGATAAAGTAAAACATCAATGTTAAAAAAGTGACACTCGACTGCTATGGGCTAATATTGAAACAAGGTGTGAAGAATTTAGTCTTACCTCAAGTGCTTTCTGATAATAGTGAAGAGCTGCTGACGTGTCCTCGTCATCCATAAAAATCAAGGCTAGAGTAGAATAGACTTGGACACTTGGAGGATCTATCTCCAGCAACTTCTTTAATCTAAATAGGAATAAGGCAACACATTAATAGGACAGGAATATTTAAGAACTCAGTTTTCTCTTTCAAATTGGCATCAATGATATTTTTCTATAATTGCTATATTGTTCTCGTGATTGTTTTTTTTTTTATCTGGGAGCAATTATAGGGAAGAGGAACAACGATGGCAGACAGGTGAAGCATTGCCAATTTGTAGGGCCTGTTGGAAAATAGTGATTTTGAATTTCTCGTAATGTTACCATTTGGAAGCTTAATTTTCTTTTAAAACTTCCTGGTGTAAAGCAATACATGGTAACAGTGTGTACAGATTAAATTTTTTCTCTTCTTCAGTGCACTGAATCAAATGGAATGGAGCAAACGGGGTAATTGTCTCAAAAGAGTGACAATGACAACTGTGTCCAAGTTTATTGTACTTTAGGAATGAAACTTTTAATCAAATACTTAGCCGAGAGTGAGACTTTTGCAGCAAAATTTGATTTTAATCTACTTTTGGCCTCTGCAGACTTCTTAGGTTAAATTTCTTCTGCATTTTCTTTGATAGGCCCTAGCCATACTCAGTATTGGTTAAGTATATGGAATTTTGACGTATTTTCAAAAACGAAATTAAGTTACAATTTCCCCCAAATTAAAAAAAAAGGAATTTGAAAGGTGGCGCGTTCTACATGTCGTATCCAGCACCCCCTTGTTTTGTTGTTATAAATATTGTTGCAACAAGCCATTTTCGTAATGGTACCAAATGTATTGCCTGCATCTTTGTAAAGTGCCTCGGTACAAGACATTTCATTCATCCGTTACAAATAATTGTAGGGCCGCCGCAGCATTCCCACAATCACATACTGTAGCAGTCACTTATTAACTTAGGATAGCCACACGGCGTACTTTTAATTTTTAGAGACAGAAAACCTGCAGCTGCTGGACGGCCTTTGAAGTAATGACGTCGGTTTTTGACAAATACCAAGGCAGACACAAGGTAGCCGCAAGGCCACCGTACGCCCGACATGTGGTCGCCGTGGAATCGCTATACGGCATGGCTACGGTGTCTAATTCTCTAATTGCTACGGCGAACCTAGTACGGCCTGTAAAGATAGGGAGACGCCCTAAGGTGACCATGAGGCCCCCGCAGGTTTCTTTCGATTTCGGGGGCCTACGGCCACCATATCCTAGCCGTAGAGCAAATGTGACTGAGGCATTATGCCAAGGTCACCTTTGCCGCAGCGGCCGTGGGGTCTTAAATATCTACGGCCCATAGCAATTATAGGGCCGTCGCAGCATTCCAACGGTCACATACGGTAGCAGTCACACACGTTATGCCTGGGTTACATTTGGCCTGCGATTAGTCGGCAGAGCCCGTATCCTGCCCGTATCCCCTTTTCCGTGCTCCCTCCGTGAGACTTTAGTACGGATTCACGGGCTCCGCGGGGCTCTGCGGCCTCAACGATTTTGTTTCGCAGAAAGTTATACAAATTTGGAAAATCGTTAGCCCGTAGTCCGTAGACATGTCGTAGGTATCATTGCACGATTCCCGCACGGGCATCGCGCGGAGGACTCGCGCTGAACGTGCAGCAAACGAACGATTTTTCGGTGAACATGGAGGCAAAAAACGCTTAAAAACGGCACGGGGGTTGCACGGTCACCACGCCTTCTCCGCGCAACGTTTGCACGGAAGCTGCACGGACTCCGTACGATTTCCGTGCAGAGACAACACGGCTACTGCATTAAAATTGCACGATATCCGTACCATCTCCGAGCAGCCTCTGTACGGATTTGCCACGGCCTGCCCCCGAGGGCCAATACAAGAAATTGCACAATGTTCGTAGATAATGTAAACACAAACATCGTAGCCCGTAGCCTCCTACGATGCCCCAAAATCGCACGAAAAATAGTAGACTAATTTATCGTACGGCACCCGGGGTAAAAGTAATCCAGGCATAAGGGTAGCCGCATGGCATATTTTAAATTTGTGGAGACAGAAAACATGTGGCTGCCGTACGGCCTTTGAAGTGATGATGCACGGTCGCCTTAGGGCTTCCCTGCGGTGGCCGTACAGTTTTTTGAAAAATACCAAAGCAGACGAATGGTAGCCGCAAGGCCAACCTACGACCGACGTATGGTCGACGTGGAACTGCTCTACGGCATGGTTACGGTGTGTTTTATTGTCAAATTGCTACGGCGAACCTAGAAATAAAAAAAGTTATAACTCCGCGCTATAATCCCACGGCGTCCCGTCCGGCCTGTAAAGATAATGATACGCCTTAGTGTGACCATGAGGCCACGGCAGATCCTCTGCGGCCGTTGCAGGTATCTCTCCATTTCGGGGGCCTATAGCTGCCGTATCCTAGCCGTAGATCAAATGTGACCTAGGCAGGGGATCTTCATTTCTAGGTGCGCCGAAGCAATTAGACACACCGTAGCCGTGCCGTAGAGCGGTTCCACGGCGTACGATGGCCTCGCGTTTGCTGTGCGGCTGCCCTAGGGTCTTATGAATTACAATTGACTTTTGCAGACCCCCAAAAAATTGCAGCGGCCGCAGGAATTCCACGGGTGCCCTAGGGCAGTAGGCCATATGTGGACCGTACGGGGGCCTTGCGGGCGCCTTGGTATTTGTCAAAAAACCTAAGGCCCCCACAGGGACGCCCTAAGGCGACCGTGCGTCATCACTTCAAAGGCTGTTTGGCAGCCGCAGGTTTTCTGTCTTCACAAATTCAAAATACGCCGTGCGGCAACCCTAACATAATATGTGACTGCAACCGTATGTGACCGTGGGAATGCTGCGGCAGCCCTATAATTGCTATTGGCCGTAGATATTTAAGACCCCACGGCCGCCGTGGCAAATGTGACCTAGGCATTAAGAATTAGTAAAAAAATAAAAAAAAATAAAAAAAAAAGTAACCAAACACTTCCAACGGCAGGGCCTGATAATTTGCCTCATACCTCATGATAGCATCTTGCCTTCGAGCAACATTGCCAGACTCCTGGATGTAAAGAGCCGACTGCAGCAACGACTTTTTGTGATGGGGATCTATCTGCAAGGCGTGATCAAAGTATTTGTTTGCTTCTCGCCCCCTTCGAATGGCTTCCTTAGCAAGCTGATAAGAGATGAAAAACAAATTTTTACCAATTCAAAGTTAGATTTTTAAATTGTTGTTATACAAAGAACAAATGATCGGCACACGTAATTGGCTGAGTTAATAACTTTCAGATAATAAGCACAGCTTTTGAAAGGTAAGATCTCGCGATACCAAATTTTCACAATCAGAGATGTTATAATTAATACCGGACACCATTGTCCTGCTAACATTATCGCTATCATTACAATTATTGTCACCACATTATCATCATCATCATTATTATCTTCCTCATTATTATTAGTGTTATTAGTATCATTAATATTATCATCATCATTATTATCATTTCGATTATTATCATTCATTATTATTCAACTTATTATTAAAATCATGTTTACTATTATGATGATTATTATCATTGTTACCATAATCTTATCATTATTATTATTATCATTATTATCATTAGGAAAGACCAGAGGATAAACTCTCTTGCAGCTGACTCAAGCTTTAAGCTACGGTCACAAAAGTTCGTACGAACGATGCGTTTTTACGAATCAACCTGTTCGTACGAATTCCAGAGTTCGTAGAGATTCGTAAATCGGGCATAGTTTCTTACGTTCTTATTACGAAGTTCGTAAGAACGCCGTTTATTTTTTACATCTGAAGAAGAGAAAAAGTTGTTCTTACGTCAGACTTACGGCCAAGCTGGTCGAACGTGTAACTGACGGCATTCTCAAGTCATTCGTAAAAAGATCTTAATATTTTTTGTATATTTTGTAGGGTTGCACAAAAAGCGCTGCCAAAATTGCATAAATTGTGTACGAACACCTTACGAGCACCTTACTAACGCCTAACGAACGACATGAGTCCTTAGTACGAAGGCCATACGAATCTCCGTTCGAGAGCCCTATATGAACAATAAAATGCGTTTTTACGATCATCGTAGGAATTTGTGGCTTCTAGAATTGTCATCGACCCTACGAAATCTTGCGTGGTTTATTACGATGTTTTTAAGACGTTCGTACGAGGTTGAACAAAATCTTGGACAAGACCATCGACCAATCTGCGAACTTACGAACGGTCTACGAACGCTGGTTTCGTACGGCCTTCTTAAGAAGATCTTAAGCCTCGGTCACAAATGCCATTACAAACTGCAATGCTAAAGCCGGGGTAATAATTGTGGAGCGCCAGGAGTGTCAAGTTTGACGGACATGAGAGCTTATGTACCACAAGTAAAGAATCTCTAAAGACAAATTTAGTGAATGTTTCGAATGCCGAATTTCCTGAATTTTAAGGTTTAGCTGGTAACCAACGAATAGAAGTTTCCGGAAAAAGTCCCGGAACGTTAGCAGGGTGACCAGACGTCCCTAATTTTACGGGATCGTTCCCTATTTCAATCATAATTGTATGTCCTGCGGCACGAAACGAACATCCCATGGATGTTATTTCAGAATTGTTAGTTTAACTGGAATGTGTATACTCATAAATTGGCATACGTTTCACTACTAAATTATTCATACCCTTACCAAGTTTTATAATTGTTTAAATATGTGAAACATTGATTTGTCAAGATGGGTGTCTCTTGAGAATGCAACATATTAAAGCTTACGTTTAAAAGTATTCAGCAAAGGCCCTATTTCAATCAGTATACTAGCTATTTCTTGACTTACCAAAATCAAATATAAACATTAAAATTTACAAGGAGTATGAATAATGAAGTTGTTAACTGTATATGATACAGCAGAGAAACACCACCACAATCTGTCACAATAGGTTGGATTCACACTTAACAGCGCCCCCACTGGAAAGCAGCGACAGGCCAATTTTTCAGATCGCGGGTCGACATCGACCTTTCAACCAGTGAAGCACATCAACACGCAAGCCTTGATACGGCTCCCTCTCGCACTCTCCCTCAGTGACATTCTTCATCTGCATGCCATTGGTGATTGCGCAGGTGTCATTTTTTAAAATTTACATGAACGCAGCCAGCTTTGCGCAGATATTAGGCAATGGCTTGTTCTTATTTTGATTTGTTATGACGATTGACATTATTTTACAACCATAAAAGATAACATCGTTTTTAGGATTCTACCTCTGGTATACTAACATTCTTAAGTAATATGGCGGGTAGCAGGTTAGAAAATGGCGTGGACTTGCACACTACAACGGCTTATTTTGAATCATCGGATCATCGCGTCGGGTCGCTTTACCTGACCTTTGGTGAAAACATGTCCCTCTATTCACAAATGTCGGATGAAATGTTTGTGAAATAAACCCCTCTCATCTACAAGTATGGTCCAATTTACACGACACTTTATTAAAACCCTACAGCGAATCTACGAAAGGTCGCGTCATCCTCTGCTTTCGTTTCCTGAAAGGTCATGTAACGCGACCATCCGACCGGACGCGCTGACCCGATGATTCGAAGTAAGCCCAGTACAACCCGCACTTACCAGGTTGAGCAAACCTAGAGTAGGCGGTTTTATTTGGGTTGCTTTTTGATAGAGAGATTCCGCTTCGTCGAGCTGGTCTTTTTGTATCATGATTACTGCCAGATTGTGGTAAGCTATGTAATCTGGCTGCGACCGAATGACCATCTGGTAAAGCTGAAGTAGAGAGGTGTCACATCATATATTAAAAGGAGTAAAATCATGTGTGGTTAATAGCGGAGTAAAAAATGAACCATTTGATGTCTAGAGCATCTTCCACAAAAAATGACCCCTTTTTGCAACAAGTTCAAAATGGGCTCTAAAATATAGCCCTATTTGTCACAAATTATAATATGACCCCTTTTAATAACATTTCCTGCTCTTTTGAAGATAACATACCCTTCTTTTCTTCAAATCCATAAACGTTCAAATGTTAGCAAACTTCCTTCAAAATCACCCTTGTTTGTGAATTTTCTCTTTGTTATGCATCTACACAAAAGTAATACCATTGGGTGGAGACCATCCTTGAAATTAAAGAGAAAATCCAATCTTTGTACTCAGCTCATTTTTATATATGTATTTTTGAAAACTTGAGATTCTAGTCATTTTGTGTATTGGAACAAATAAGAAAGTTGTCCGCCACAACATTACAGATACATTACTGAGTCAGCCAATTTGAAGAGCCCATACCTATAGTGATTTCAATTTTCCAAAATTCATAATTTTCTCTTTTTTTGTCAGATTTCATTCTAACTTTGTCGTGTTTGCTTCTTAATTTTAAGATGTTTTTTAAAGGTTGGATTTCCCTTTGAAGAATGAAAGTGAAATGCACTTCATTTATGCTTTGTTTGGTTGGCCGTCTCAACAAAACCCCTGACCGTTGTTTGTATGGCAACCCTAATTTTCAGTATACCGTTTTTTACTCGTATATATATATATATATATATATATATATATATTTCATTTATTTACATATGTATTTTTAATGTATTTGCTGGAATTGAAATAAACGAATTGAATTGAAGAAGAACAAAAGGGGGTACCTCTTCTGCTTCAATGAGCCTGCTCTTATTCTGCTGTATTACGTGCGCCAGGTTGAGATACCCAGGGAGATGTTTTGGATCAATCTGCTCTCCTTTCCTAGGCTGTGGCATCAATTCTATCGCTCTCCTGTACCCTACCTCCGCCTCGTCCAGCTTACGGAGTTCCTGGTACGTACTCCCGACATTGATCCATGCATTTATGTAATCTGGCTGGAGCCTGTATTGAAAGAAAATGAGTTTTGGTAAAGCTGAATAAAATTGTTGAGCTTATGCTATTTCAGAAGATCGTTCGTTCGTTCGTGTCCCCTAAGATCAGATTAATGTTTCTTGATCTTCAGAGTAGTTGCTACAACCGGCCGTGTCAGACACGTTGCCCCGGGGTGCGAGATAGGTCTCTTGTAGCGTGCCCCCATTTTACACAATTATACAATAACAATTAACATTACATTTAATTTTAGAAGATTATCAAATGACACATCCTAGATACATGTATTTTCCATGCTTTTCTAAGCATTTTTGGATTGTGTTGTGGAATGTGACCATAAATTGACATAAAATAATATCCTATTTGATGGCTTGTCGGATCCAAGCTCTAATACGGCTATCATCGTGATGTACTATACCATTGAGGCATCATGCTAGCCCTAGGACACTGCTAGAGATGAGCTTTGCCTTGTAGAAATTATGTTTCTTTTGAACGCTGCTCTTGATCTGTCACAATAACTTTACATGAATGGGTTTTACTCCATGGAACACTTACGTTGTGGCCTTATTGAAATAGGTGATGGCATCTTCCAAGCGGTTTTCTTTTTTCAAAGCATGACCTTTGATATTCCACATCAAAGCGTTATTCTGGGTAACCTTCAGGGCGGAGTTGATCAGAGAATGATTGCTGTCCCTGTAATAGGTTTCATCAAATATAAGAGACCGTCATGAATAACACAAGATAAGATAAGATAAGATAAAATGTTATTCGACTCTATCGACCGCCTTCAGGAGGAGTATGAGAGCACAACATATTTACAATACAATATACAGAAAGATATATAAAACAAAGTAAGATATGATAATAAAATACATAGACATGATATATACATTTTGATGTTTCTAAAACACAATAAACACGAGCCAAAGACTTAGTATACACTATACAGTTTTAAGTTATAAGTCTAAAATATCACGTGGTTTGATTTATTTGCAACCTCGTCTCTGAATAAGCGTATTCATCCTTCTGACATTCTTTTTATAGTATACCAATCACACGAAAGGAAATCTTTGCAATATAATGTATGCAGCTACACGTAGAGGAGACCAGTTCTCATCAATTAGCCCATAGTACAAGTGATCCCCAATATTTTCGTTCCATTCATTTTCAGTTCTGAATACATAATAAAGTCAGTATATCTTTAAACATACATGGAGAAATATATACTTATATACTTAGTTTAAAGAGAATTGACCAGTGCTCCAATATAAGCGTAGCTTGATGCCTTGTGAACCTTGACAATTAAGTACATGCAAAATATGTAAATTCGGGGGTTCCTCGTGGTGCAAATTTAAACAAAACAAATAGGTTTTCAGGGCTCTTCCAAAGCCGTCAATGCTCCCAACAACTCGAAGCTGGTCAGGAAGCTGGTTCCAAAAGACAGGCGCTGCCGTTGAAAAGGCACGATGTGGTAGTAGTCAGGAGATTCTTTGTTGAGGAGCGGGGATTTCTACGGGGTATGTATAGTCTGGAAGCACAAACCCTGGTCAGTCGTAAAAGTGAGGCTGCACTATAAGACTACCATAGGCCATGTACTGTAGCTGCTCCTGACACAGGATATATTGACACAACCAGTAGGTAGCTGGGCTAGACTTCTCTCAAGGCACAATGATTTTTTTTATTAAGTGTCAAATTAGGGTCTGTGACTACAGACTAGGGTATGTTAGGGCAAATAATATCAAGAAGATAAGTCGGGGATTTAAGAATCATTTAGGGGGATTTAGGCATTAAATTACGGTCAGATAAGTATATTTAGATAACTTGAGTGACACTGGCTGGTCACTAATTGGCGGGGGCCCAGGGGACTAAGTCCCATGAAGCTCAGGTGTTTAAGGCATTTAATTGCTGTCAGATGAGCATCCAGGGGCCTGCCTTAGGGCCTTTGGTGGGGTCCAGGGGGCAGAGCCCCCGTAAGCTCAGGGGTTTTAGACATTTATTACGGTCAGATGAGCATATGCCATATTTTGATACTTCATTATTTTGTGACACTGGCAGGTCACTTATTCTTTCTTTCTCTCTTTCTTTCTTTTTCCCTTTAACATACTTTTTCAAAAAAGTGAAGGGGAGTTCTCGAGCCCCCGATCCTCACCGTTCTGCAGGCCCTGACATGAAGGCTTCTAAATTAAGCATATTCTTTGCCTAACTGTAAATTTGGGAAATTGTAATTTTTAAACAAAGGGCATTACAAAAGATAATTTACCAAAAAAATTGAGAAAAAAATCCGGGAAAATCATTTTATTTGTAAATCACTGGTATCGAATTAGAAACAAACCACGTTTGAATTTTATTTGCCCTCCCAAGCCCCCCCCCCCCCCCCATTATTACGCCAACGTTCAGGGGCTCATATCCCTACAACAAAAAAACAAAAACACAACGAAAACACACAATATTTCCACGATATGCGCGGATCGCTATTATAAAATCCTCCATTGATAAATATAGGGGCATGCAGAATGTTTAGGAAATTCAATTCCTGTTTACTCTCCTTTTCTTTGAATAGAATATCATTTGTATGTGATTCAGTTAATAATAATAATAATAATAATAATAATAAATTTATATAGCGCAGCTTTTATACAAAATATATTTAGCTGCGCTGGTTAAGAGCTCCTTTTTTACTAAATTATACAAAATAAGATCACTCAGTTGAACAAATAAATTTTTTAATTGGATTTAAAAACATTGAGAGATGGAGTGCTTTTTATTCAGTTCAGGTTTTATTATTTTTCATTTTCTTTAGGTTAAAAAATACAAACCATTTTTACTTCTTTACAGCTGATTTTGTTTGCGGGGGAGGGGGGGGCTTTTTTTGGGGGGGGGGTATTTCCGGCGCGCCTGGGTCGCCCCCTGGCAGGGGATATGCCCCCCTCAGAAGTAGAAGATTCTTTTTAAATTTATGCATAATGGCTCGGTTTGGTGCATCTTTTTTGCCAAATTAAAAAGAAAAACAGTCTTAAGTTCAACGAACAAGAGCAAGCTCAATTTTCCTCATCTATATTTTTTCTTTTCCCTCTCCCCCGCCCTTCCTAACGTCATACATTTTAACATTTTAAAGTTCTATCCCTCCTTTTCTTCCCCTCCATTTTCTTTTCTTCTCCTTCTTTTCTTTTTCTTTTCCTTCTCTGTTTCCTCATTCTCTTTCTCTTCCTCTTCCTTTTTATTGAAAATTATAGGGGAGGCCGCCGCCGCTGTCTTGGAGTACTGTTCTTAATCTAGAAAAGAATTTCGCAGATATAGATACATATTTTTGACATATCCATGATTTTTCTGATTATATACCACTCTATTTATCAATATATTTCTCAAATAAAGAACATCATGAACTTAGCGATATATGAACTACTTGCTACTATATAAAACACTGTCAAAACCTTCCATATAAGTAGATAACAATTGTTCATACTCGTGGGTGTTTAGAATGAGATATGTTTAAAGGCCTACAATGGCTATAAATGTGATTTTTTTTTTCCTGCAGTATTCTTCAAAATTAGTTAACTTATTCTCAGGAGTCATGTGTTTGAAAAGCATGGGGTCGGAGACTCGGCAAAACCTAGAAATATTCGTCCACTTTAGCCAAAAGATAGACAAACCTCGTTTTCCCCTTTGTCACCAGCTGAGCTTCATTTTTACTGATGTGTTCCTTCAACATATTTTCAAACAAATGCTGTGAGCGTCGAAATCGGCAGCCTAGCATAGCCGGGTAATGTTGGAGCGCCTTGAGGACCTTGCAAGGTCGATACGTGCGCTATATAAGAATCCAATATTATTTTTATGATTTATGACATATTGCTTGCAATACTTCTTAAATTACTGTTTGATACCAACTGTCCGGACGAGCAACCTCGCCGGACACACGATGTGTTGGTATTATACACATATGGGCTCCAGTTTTAAAATATATAAATAAACAGATTGGGATTCAACGTACCAGTCAGGATTCCTTTGAATAGTTTTCCCAGCATGCAAGAGTAGGATGATGGCAAAGATGACCCTGACGACATATTTCCTGGTCCTACGATGAAGGTAAAAGATTAAAACAAAGTAACGCATTAGAAGTAAAGTGTTTGAATCCCTGCCATGGCATAAAATCCAAAATGGCAAGGCATTAATCTACATTCGATACACTCGAACCAGGTGTAGGATTAAAGTGACTCGGTAACATTGTTGAAGGTTGATGAAAAAAATTGTTTAATTTTTGTATAAAATGTTACTTATTATATTCCTTCTACTGTACTAACCCTCTGACATGCACACAATCCTGGAAAATTCTCAAACCACGAAGATATCTATGGTTTTCTTTGAAGGCGTCACTGTGCAACCTCCTTTATAAGATGGTTAGAAGAATCCCTGCAATCTGATTGGTCAATTACCGTGTAGTTATTTTTACTGGATGCACGCGATATCAACACGACATATGCGATATTGGAATCGATAACACCGATATCCCGATTGTTTTATTTTTTTAGTGCTTATAATACATCCACAGGGGCATCAAAATATATCAAAATTGTAAGGAATCACTATCCATCCAATTTTCAAAATTTACCAAAACTTTGTATTACCTTTAAGGGTAAGATTATAGTTTTTGAGAGTTATATTGATGATTAAGTATTTTAATTATCTATTTCATTTCCCCCATTTTTTGTGTACAGTATGCGTTTGTCTATACCGTTTCTTAATGTACCGTGGTCGAGCCCCTAGTGCCGGATACCAGTTGGCATTTTGACCACTAGTCTTAACCGGTGTGCTTTCTCTAAACAAACCAATTAAACGTTCCAGTCATGTAAAGGGTTCCAGTGACTAGAAGAAAGTACTGGCAAAAAAAAATTGAATGCATTAGCATCATACCTATTCGCTTGTAATCTCTCCATCGCTTTGGCCACAAGCAAACAGTATCCTATACTAGGAGCGTAGAGCACCCTCTCGGCAACAACGAACCCAACTGGGAAAAACAAGTTACTAGCTGGTAAAAATGGCAGGACAAGAAACGACAAAGCCTGTAAAACAATGTTTGAAGCAGACAGAGAACGGAGAGATTCATGTATCAGAAAACCAATCATTTTAAATACTTTAGGACACAAGACATAGAGTTTGGGCAGGCTGAATAGGCCACGGACTCTAAAGTAATAAAGGCAGAGGGAATAAAATGATGAACAAGTATAGACTAATGTCTTGGTTCTTGGTTCTTGGTTGGTTAGTCCTCCAAAATATTCGTCTGAGTTTCAGCTGGAGTTCTTCATCTGATTACTGAATGCAATTAATCAATACAAATTCAGCTGTTATTGGTCCAGAGAAACAGAAAACCACTTAAAAAAAATATTTAAAAAAATAAATAGAATGAAACATCAGGCCCTCGCATATGTCTGACACAGGGACTTTTCTGCAAAATCCATCGTTCGTAGCCCAGACGCATAAGGAGTCACCATGGCTTCCTAAACAAAAAATAGTTTTTGTTTTGTAACATCGGTTTACCGTGTATCTGACTTGGGTTCCATTTTATGTTACTCTTTATTTTATTTGTATACTCCATAACCGTTAAAACCCTATACAAAATATCATTGCAGGGTCAAGTTTTTTGACGTTGATTCTATACATTTTAACTGTACAGTTTATTTCATAATTAGATGACTGGTATACTTAAAGTGGTTCCTGCCTGGATAATTGCCACAAGGTCTTTGCCATGACATCTGTATAAATTTAAACTCAAAATGAAATCTTGTCAATCTCACGCTTCTACATACTTCAACAAAAATTCAGTTTACATCCCTCCGGGACATCCCTCTTTTCTGAAGTTACTGCCGTGAAATTAATTCAGTAATAAAATCAATAATTTCGGACATAATGATGCATGGAAGTGTATAGTAAAGTGACTACTACATTCAGATGGACAACCTACAACTTTAATGCCTGTGAGCACTTCTAAGTGGAGGCTTTACAAATTGAAGAAATTAAAGGGAAAGTCCACCCCCAAAATAAGTTTGTTTCGATAGAGGCAGAATAATAAGAAAATCAGGTGAGTGAAAGTTTGAGCAAATTCTGAATGAAAATAAGAAAGTTATGAATTATTGAAGTTGTGATCAATCAAATACAAATTGGCAACTCTGTGACTTTTTATACGAGCTCTCCTTCATTTGCTTTGTGCATAATATTCCATAAAATCATGTTTTCTTCGTTATTGATGACGGAATATATATTTGTTCCTTGCAGGGGGAGTATAGAAACATATTTGCAATTATTATATTTAGGGTGCATGTATGGTTGAAATTTTTCTTGAGGGAAAATGAAAATTTTAGATTTTTTTAGTACTGAGCAAATGGAAGTTGAGCTCGCATGATACGTCATAGAGTTGCCAATTTGTGTTTGATTGATCACAACTTCAAAAATCCTAACTTCCTTATTTTTAATCGGAATTTGCTCAAACTTTCACTGACTTGTTTCTCTCATTTTTCTACTCCTATTAAAACTAACTTAATTTCAGGGTGGACTTCCCCTTTAAATATTGAAATTCTGTTTACCATTATAAGCTGGCATGAAGTTACCTCCTCTGCAAATACTGCATACAGCACCAGTAGGATGAGGCAGGACACCAGTAAAAGGGTTGCTAGGTTGCGAGGGTCACTGAGAGAGGTCACCAGTGGGATGGTTCCCATCGACCAATCACAGATCAGTGCTGAGGGATAGAGGAGGAGCCAAGCGTTGACTGGCAGAAGGTATAAGTGGGTCAGGTGACGGGTTGGGAAGGGGAACAGAGCAGCTGGGTTTGAATATCTTTGTAAAGAATATAAAAGAATTGATAGTTTTGGTGAAAAGAAACATGGAACAGCAATTGTAATGGTAAGTATACAGGTGCCAGGAATTGTCACTAAATCCATTGTTCGTTCTGATAGGCTAGCTATACCACAGTACTGTGGTATAGCTAGCCTAATGTCGTTAATGGTAATTAAACCCATTTACTCCTGTCAGCTAGGAGTACTTTAAAGACCGTCAATACTACTGGGCCAGAGGGGATTAGACCACACAGCGAGGTCACTGACAGGTGGCTATCTCATTAACTCAGCTCTCAACTAACATAAGAAAAAGAGGATCATGGTGGACCAACAGGCACCGATTGGGGAAGTTTTCTATATAAAGGGAGCAAGTAGCTACAAGGACAGTGGGCTAACAGCGTGTCCACACACAAACCAATTTATCGCGAAACTCTATAACGATACGTCGTATAAAGAATCATCGTATAAATTCCAGGATGTCCACACACAAGAAACGTCGTCACTAAAGAATCATCGTATAAAATGCCCCCTGTCCACACACAACATTTTCCGTGATTCTTTATAGAGTTTCGCGATAGTGGTCTCATTTCGCTCGAGGTCACGTTAAGCCCCGCCCAGTTAGTTACACTAGTTACACTCCCCCAGGGGGTCCCCCTGTCCACACACAACATTTCCGTGATTAGGCGTGATTCTTTATTGAGTTTCAGTTCGAAACGATGCCCAAACCTGCGTTTCGTTAGACTAGTTTCGTTATACGACGTATCGTTAGTGAGCGTCCACACCTACAATTTTGGTCGTAAAACTATCGCGAAACGGTATCACTATCGCGAAACGGTATAGCTAATCATGATTAGTCACGGAAAATGTTGTGTGTGGACAGGGGGTTAGATGGGAGAACTAAGCTAGCTTACTTTGGATCATCGTGTCGGGCCGGGTGGTCGCGTCATCGACCTTTTTGTGAAAACATAGCACTTTTTCACAAAATGTCGTGGGCAATGTTTTTGAAATAAGCCCCTCTCATCTACAAATGGTCTGGTCCAATTTCCCGGCACTATAGCACTTTCAAAGCGAAATATGTACTTGGATTGCTTCCCTTCATACTAAAGATACTCCAGTCCTTATTGTATATTGATAGCAGACATAGAGTCTTGAAAAACAGAACAGACGCATAATTATGTTAGGTATTGTCGACATGGAGTGTAATATTAGAAAAGAATCTTCGAGATTATTTATATTTTCTAACAATAAACACAACATCATCGATCAAGTAAACTATTCGGAACGGAATAGGGATATTTAAGGAAACCATACTGGCATTAGATATAATCAACGTAAAGGTAAAAACGACCCTTATAGCAAACAACTCGATTTAAAAAATCAAAACAAATCAGAAGAGCAGCCTGGTGACAGTCTGAACGAAATTTGACAGAAAATAAGAAAGTTGTGAATTTTCAGTTCTATTATCTTTTTGAAGCTAATTAACTGCTAACAGAGTTTTTAGATTACCAAAACTCTTTTAACTCCTTGTTAACTACTGCGCGCAAACCAATTAGAAAGTTCATGCTGTTCTAACTGCAAATTGTTAGCCCCGTAATAGCTGTATATCGTGAATATTAATTAATTCGCTCCATTGCGTAGTCCGGGACTATTTTTTGTTTCTGTTCTCATTCCTTTGCTAAGCACCACAATTGCGGAGTTAGCCCTGCTTTTTTGCAGGGCCAGCTAACCCCGTACTATAGGTGGGGCTAGCCCACTTTGGTAAATACGTGGAATAAGCCTAACCCCGGCCGGACTATAGGTTGGGCTAAGACCCCCCTTTAACCCCACCTATAGTACGGGGTTGAGCGCTAATTAAGTTCTTAACGAGCTGTTAGCATACCACCCCAGGAATTCAGCCATCGGCCCCCAGTTTAAAAGAAAACCCATGCCTTTATCTTTCATTACTTGGGAAAGGAGGGCAACTTTGCACCCATGATGATCAACCGTCCACATAATAACAGCCCAGATGATGCTATCAGGAAGGCCAACCTAGGAGCAGCCCGCCACAAAGCCTGATAAAAGGGTGATGAGCTCCGTGATGCCTTTGTAACTGTCGACTTGGAATCCTGTATTAATGCCTTAAATGAGAACTGGACATAAGAATATAAAATGTTATGAAAAGTTATACTGCATAGCAATTAAAAGCTGAAACAGAAAAGCAGATGCGATAGAAAATTAAAACCTAATAAATATTCACATATACATTCCAAATCGTGTTTTTTGTCATGTATTGTACATTTGCAATATGTTAAGTAAGACGAAGAGTTATGCGGACACTTAACAAAAATAAAGCTTTAACTCTTGCCTTGAGATTTAGCAAAATGTATGCATCAAATAACATTAACCATTATGAATATTTTTTTTCTTCTAATTTTGTTCGAAACTAGAATAAAAGCAAAGTATGTATGATGGGGGGAACCGGACGCTAAACGAAAAAGAAAATATGCATCAAATAGTACTAACCATTATCAACATTTTTCTTTTGTAATACTGTTGAAGTCTTAAAGTTTTATGAAATATTCTTCAAAGTTTTAAATCAACTTTCTGCATAACCAACCTAGCTGTGCAGACACACGATGGGTGGAAATGTTATCGATAAATTTATCATCTTAAAAGTTTACAATGTGCGAACTGTATAGAAATTTATATGAGCTTCAACATACAGGTTTGATCGATTGTCAATAAATAGATTCTATCGAAGTGTAACTGTGATTGTAATTTCATATCTACACTAACTTAAACAGACACAAATCAGTCTCCAGATTATGTATTACATTTCATTTTTTTTAAATGCATAACATGCTGTCAAGATATTTCACCTGTAATTATTGTGGAGGCTAATGTATAGGCTTTTAGATAGCGTGGTTTCTTTTCTCCTTCTTCCTCCTGTTTTATTGATATTTTTGTTTCTGTATGTTCTCATGTTCGTAGCTTCCCCTGGAAAGTGGAACTGGAAAGGGTCAAATGAAATCGCCATTCCTTTTTTCCTTCCAGGCAACTTCAGGAAATACAGCAGAGAAGGCTTAATCATTTGTTCTTAGTTTAAATCTCACGTCTTCTTTGTATTGTATCTTTTGAATACCAAATAGATAATAGTTTTATTTAAAAAAATATAAAAAATAATAATAATATAAATAATAATAATAAATAATAATAATAATAATAATAATAATGGTAAAAGTGTCATCGGATGCAATTTTAAACTTCTCTTCACATACCTTCTGTATGTAAAATATTTCATAGATGCAGCATATGCCAGCCACAGTAATGCCCTGTTCTTTAGAGGCAGTTGCCATAACGATGAGTAAAGCCGACCAGCTCATGTACTTCCAGTCTGTTAAAAATGAAGCAAATTAAAGGCCCAAGAGTCAACATTATTTAAAAATTTAATAAGCAAGGGAAATGGCAACATAATATATAAAAGCCAAGATATGACTGATGTCAGCTAGAAAGAGAGGAATGAGAACAAATAAATGAGTCTGGTCTCAGCGATTAAGTAAGAAATATATATATTTATTTTAAAAACAAACATTGCTTTATACATTTAATAATCAACAACTAATGCCCAGTAACAAGATATTACTCTAAAGACAGAAATTATATTGTAAAAATCATTGTTCGTCATTAAACATTGATATATTTTGCAAGCAGTTCCAAAAGGTTACATGCCACTTATAAAATAATCCAATTGCAAATGACACAACACTGACTTCTCACAATTCACCAAAGTTTCTGTGCCATGATAATGGATGATGTGTACAATTGTCAAGAGTTTCTGGCACAAAAGTAATCATGTGAACAAAATCCCCAGATAACATGAACTACTTACTTGTGGTGCTATTGGCCTCGGCTGCTTTGACGTAAGCCATGAACGATAGTAGCATGAAGACAGAGGACAGTATTTCAGCTCTTCCGACCACTCCAGTAACCTACATGTACATAGAAATGCAAACAAGAAAATATGATTACTGATTTACAAACAAATGAAAAACAGGACAGGCCTGTCAGATCAAGTAAATAGGTGAACGTCAAATGATGCTGACTTTTTCGCTTTCGGACAATTTTGGAGTATTAGCACAACATAAGCGTTAACAAATTTGAATCATTTTCTTATGGTGATACAAAGTCGCAACTAGTTTGAAGTTTGTACCTCGATCAAGTGTTTTTCACTTATCGGGAACTAATGATCGGGACTAAAAGATGTATTTTCCCTCAGAAACTGACCTCTATGACCTTTGGCCTTTGACCTACTTATTCCAAAATTTATCATCATCAATTGTCATACCGCTTCGGTGTGAACTGCATGTACTGCAAAGAGAAGAGATGCGTTTACACTGCTCTCTTCATCAATGATCTGTTTAGCCGCTTTCAAGAAGAGGACGCACATCACCCAGTGCAGCACCACGTTGACAAGGTGATAACCCCATGGGTTTAACTCTCCAAGAGCGTAGTTGAGACGGAAAGTAAGAACGCACAGTGGACGGTATGACTTGTGACTTTCATCCTGTCAGTTAAAGGGAAAATAGATGGGATGAAGTCTTTCGAAACTTTTGTTTAAAAAAACATCAATCTATCATGATATCTGGTCTGTATACAGTACTGCTCAATTTACTCCACTCCATGCATCATATAGCTGCTCCTGCCAGAGACTAAGTTGGGCTATTTATAGGTTCGAGAAGTATGGTATTGGGCTCGACACTAACATTAAAGTGACTCAGTAACATTGTTTAAGGTCTATTTTTGTATAAAATGTTACTTATTCCTTCTGCTATACTTACCCTCTAACAGGCAAAAAATCCTGAGAAAATTCTCAAACCACAACGACATTTATGGTTTTCTATGAAGGTATCACTGTGCAACACAGTCCTTCTAACAGTGATTAACAATAAATTCTACCAACCATTTTTGAATTTTCCCAACCGTTTTTCCTTGAAAATAAGTCATTAAACAGGCTATGAAAAATCTGTCAACACTTAAATGTCTGGAATGGTATATAGAGCGAATTCATTGCTCTGTGACGATTTACATTCACCTAAAATGTAATTAAATTGTAATAATATAGTTGGGAGTATTAAGGAATCGATCAGATAAGTAAACCCCAATTTTTATCATTAATAATGGTCCGTTTTCACTCAAACTTTCAGATTTTCTTTAATTAAACATCTAGCATTGCAGTCACTACCTTAACACCATTTTGTCTCATCTGAACAATGTTACTAAGTCCCTTTAACAGGCATCTGGGACACCCACGGGCACCCACGGGCACCCACAATCTAAGTCAGGACCTCCGCAATTTTGAATGTTGTGCATAGCTAGGGCTCGTGCATAATATACAGACTCTAGAAAGTTAAATCCCGATCCCCTTAAAAAAAATTAATAGTTTAGAGCCCTTGGTCCTTGTTAAAGAAAAGGTTGGGTTCTGGGGAGAGGTGAAAAATATTTTGTGATCGTTATCATTGTTATTATGCAAGTGAGGAAGAACATCAGAGAAAACATATCCCTTGAAAAGCATGGCTCTTCAAATGCCTTCATATTCTAAATATGACAAGTAACAGCTTAAAAATGAGGCCCAATTTTTCTGCCACATGTTTGTGTGGTCCCTATTATATTGCAACGCATGCACACATGCACGTGGATGGACGTGTTACTGAAGAATTTGATTTGTAGTTCGGCAAGTTGGTAGGATCGTAGTCAAGATCAGCCTCAGTCAGTTTGTAGGCGAAAACATCATAGAGCTTGACCGTACCACGCACATTACCGCGAGACCAACTCACATCTTGATCCTTTAGATGTTTGAGTCAACTCAAATATAACGAGATTCATAGTGACCTACCTTGTTCATGGGCACCCCCCAAAAATCATTGAATAACAATTTGGAGATAGATGAATTTGGTCGGAGGTCCTCGTTTTTTAAGATCGCGCCTTTGTCGTCATAGGCGAAACCACAGGAGATGGCGTTAGAGTAACATGCCAAGACCAGAGCCAGAAGCCCAGCAGAATAGAAGAACTCACGCTGTGAGGCAGTTGCCATGACTACCAATTCTAGTTTTGTGTTTCTGTTGATGCCCACAATCTAGCACGTCTCATCCAAGGCAACTCAAGAAGCTGATCGAGAGAAGGGATATAAAATAATTGTTTCGAACACCAACTTGTTATGTATGTTCATCAAGGTGTATTAAACAAAATTAAACTTGTATGATTATGTTCATGGTTTATCGTTTACCATATAAAACATTCAGGGGCGGGGGTTGCGATTTTTCAAATTTTCGGGAGAAAAAAAAAATTAAATAAAAAATAGTGTTCATTCCCCCCCCCCCCCCCATCCCACCCCACCCCCTTCCCCACTGAGCGAATTATCGGCCGCTTCGCCGCTAAATATTTTCTCGCGAATTGGGCCCCCCTCCCCCCTGCCGTCGGCTGGATCCGCCCCTGGAGGCAACTACAAAGCCCAACCTCAAAGGGAAAATTACAAAATCTTTAGACAGTGTAAATATACCCCTACATTATAATCAAAACATTATTTGATGATTTTCAAGATTTTGCTGTCGTATGATGGTCTGAATATTCATTTGCAAGCAACAAATTGAGATCTCTTTGCGATCTTGGATGCAGTAACCGAACCCAATGGAGTTTTGAGCTCTGTCTCATATGAAAGAATAAATAAGCTAGGCATTCAACAAAAAATATTTCTTCATGAGATAAACTATGAATGCAAGCGAGCATATATATATATATATATATATATATATATATATATATAGCGAGCAATTTTTCGGGTAAATTGCGGACTACTCTTTAAAATAGAAGTCCACCCTAATATTAACTTGGTTTTAATAGAAGCAGAACAATCACAGAAACAATTCAGTGAAAGTTTGAGAACATTCGGAAACAAATAAGAAAGTTATGAAACTTTCAAAATCATGAAAATCATGGAATCTTTAAGACAAATTGGCAATGCGGTCAGAAATTAGGGGCATATTACAGCCCCCCCCCCCCCCCACACACACACACACTTTTCAAATTATCCCAAAAGTACCTATTTGCTTCTTCTGATACATAGTACCCCTTTAGCACTTTATTTACTCTTACCGACATGGTTCGGCCAGCAATGTTTTATGTTGAACAGAACAAAGAGTAGAGGTGGTGGAGTAGCTATGTTAATCCATGATTCATTGAATGTAAAAGAAAGAGCGGACATAATTTTGGCGCAAAATTTATGTGAGTCTCTCTTTCTAGAAATTGAAAAATGTGATAGGAAAAATGTAATTGTCGGAATTATTTATCGTGATCCTAATTCAAATATAGCTGATTTTAATGATGATGTAAATACGTGCCTTAATAAAATGTTAAATGAAAACAAGGACATATATATTATGGGTGACTGGAATATAAACTTACTGAACGCCTCATCAATTGCAAATGTGAATGACTTTGTTAATATTATATATAATAATTCTTTTCGACCCTTAATTAACAGACCCACGAGAATAACACGAGGCTCGACAACCCTTATTGACAATATATTAACAAATGTCTGTGAAAAACAAATATCTTCTGGAATATTATATAATGATACAACTGATCATTTACCAATTTTTTCTGTTACCCATAATGCAAGGTCCTATCCTAAAGCTGATGACAATATAAATTTTACTGAAAGATGTATTAGCCAAGAAAATATTGATGGTTTTAATAAAGATTTACTCTCATTTGATTGGATTGATATACTATCATTACGTAATATTGATGATGCATATAATAATTTCTTTGAAGTATTCAAACTAATGTTTAATGATAACTGTAAAATGTTAAAGAAGAAAAAACCTAGGTCTTCGGCTAAAAAACCTTGGGTAACTCAAGGATTGTTAAATGTATTAATAGAAAGAATCGTCTACATAAATTATTTTGCCAAAATCGTACTAAATCGGTTGAAATGAAATATAAGAAATATCGAAACAAATTAAATGAAATCCTAAGAACGGCTCGTAAAAAGTATTATTGTGACTTGTTAACCAAGAACAAGCATAACCTTAGGAAAGTTTGGCAAATTATAAACGATTTAATGTGTAAGAAAAATAAAAAAAAACTGTCCTTTATATTTTATGAAAAATAATGTAAAAGTATATAAAAATGAAGATATAGTAAATGAATTTAACAATTTCTTTTCTAATATTGCTGCAAATACCTTAAAACAAATTCGTCATAATTCTAGAGAAAAATTTAGTCACTACCTTAAAAATCCATGTCAAACTTCTATGTATTTTTATCCAACCAATGAATTAGAAATCATCAAAATTGTTAAAGATATGAAAATGAGTTATAGCACTGGCTTTGATGATATCAATACTTTTGTTGTAAAAAAAGTAATCTATTCCATATTAACCCCTCTAGTCCATATAGTTAACCTATCTTTATGTTCAGGAGTAGTACCTAATAATCTGAAAATTGGAAAGATCATTCCTGTATTTAAAAAAGGCGATAAACATATTTTCCAATTATCGACCAATTACATTATTACCATGTTTTTCCAAAATCCTAGAAAAAATTGTTTATAAAAGACTAATTTCTTATTTGGATAGAAATAAAATATTAAATAATTGTCAATATGGCTTCAGGGCAGGACATTCGTGTGAACATGCATTAATTGATCTAAATAACATTCTTTTAACTAATATTCATAATAATTTTCACTCGTTTGGTATATTTCTAGACTTGTCAAAAGCCTTCGACCTCATAGACCACAACATACTTTTATATAAATTAACCCATTATGGTATCAGGGGAGCAGTGTGGGAATGGTTCCAGAGCTACTTACTTGATCGACATAACTATACTTCATTTAATAATTATAATTCCCATTACTCGACAGCCCAGTATGGTGTCCCTCAAGGCTCCATACTGGGCCCGCTCCTCTTCCTAATTTATATTAATGATTTATGTACAGCGTCTTCTTTTTTTGAGTATCTCTTATTTGCAGACGACACAACTATCATTTCAACCCATAGCAATTTCATTTTTTTATTAGAAAAAACCAATACTGAATTATGTAAAATAGCCGATTGGTTCGATGCTAACAAACTGATTGTTAATTATGAAAAAACTAATGTTATGTATTTTAGAAAACCTCATGTATCACACAATTCTTTAGATTTTCATATAAAAATGAAAGATGTTACTTTAAATCTTGTTAACTCTGTCAAATTTCTAGGCTTTATACTTGATGATAATCTATCATTTAAGGAACACCGTTTTTTTTATAAGTAATAAGATGTCAAAGAACATAGGTATATTATCTAAATTACGTAGTACCCTTACAGAAAAGCACCTGTTAATGCTTTACAACTCGTTAATACTTCCCTATATTTATTATGGCAATATTACTTGGGCAAGTTGTGGCACTACTAAATTGACCCCTTTACATAGACTGCAAAAAAAGGCTTTACGTATATGTTCGAATTCCCCTTACTTAGCTCCGTCACGCCCATTATTTGCAAGATTAAACACATTGACAATTTTTGATATTCATGAAATCCAAATTGCGATCCTGATGTATTACGTGAAACATAATTTAGCACCTCTTAATATAACAAATTTGTTTCAGTATAATAAAGACTACCACCAATATAATACCCGTTCCCGCTCCAAATTCCATTTACCATTAGCACATAATCAATCGACTCTTATTGCATTTAAATCTGCTGGTCCTCGAATATGGAATTCCCTCCCTTCTGATGTAATCTCCAGCACTAATGTTACTTCATTTAAAACCAAACTCAAACGTTCAATAATAACTACCTACGTCAAATAAACATGTAATTTCATCTCTCCTCCCTACGTTTTTTTAATTTTTTATTTCGCCTTTTCCTTTTCCCCTTTACCTGTATGTTTAGTGCTGAATGTTTTGATTTTTTTGTTGTTTTGTATAACTAAGTTTGTTTGTATCTCATGTTTTTAATGATATGTATATTTCTTTATGTATAGGGGGCCCCATTCATCAAGCCTTGGCTTTTAGGGGCACCCTGACCATTTACACTGTATCAATAATGTTCATACACGCATAATTTGTATATTGTTTTTTATTTTAAATGGTTAATAAAACGAATTGAATTGAATTGAATTGAATTGAATATTTTGATGAAATCCGAGCCTGTAATTCACGTAAGTTCTAAATGAGATGTTCATTAAATTACTCACGGCATGGTCGGTGGGCGTAAAGCTGCTACTTTATTAGAATAATGACGAATTCGAATAATAGTTTATTGATCCCTCTCCAGAAAATATCCAACAGCCATTCGTTTCCCAACCATGTTACAAATGTATAGTGTATAATATAGGCACGGCATGTAGGCCTGTTTTGCTTTTGTTTGTGTTTCTCATTTTGGTTTCTTACTACATGTATTTTTAACGCAGGTTGCAAACGTCATGTCAAACATATTCAAAAGAACAATAATCGTTCACAATGCAGTCCAGTGTTTATAATACATTTCCATGCTTAATTTCAAATATAGGACTTTATAATCAAATTCATAATAATGTATATAATTACCTATTTCAAGTTGTAATACGAATCGATCACTGAGGTTTCTTGTCCAAGAATTGTTTAAATCTTAATGCCCGTTTCGTTTCCTATGACCCTGTTCACAGGAATAGAGAAGATGAAATATTATCCACGGCCCGAAAACTGAGTTTTGCACATATTTCCAGAACCATTTACAAAGAGCGATCGTCACGGCATTTGAAAAGACCGAGTAAAAACACCGTTGCTGCTTACTCGAGCATGGATTAAATCACTGTGCCGTTTAAATTTATATTTGTTCTTTTGCCACATGTTAAAACACGGAGTATACGCGTACGCAACAAAGCTAGAGAATGAAAATTCGATCTCTTTTGGAGAAAGGGACGGTTACGAGACAATAGTTGTATTATTTTATTGTAGCAGATGTTGTGTGTTTAAAGGTGTCAGGGTTGAGGCAGAGAGATCGAGGCGGGTAGACAGAGAGAGGGAGAGAGAGAGAGAGAGAGAGAACGAGAAAGAGAGACAGAAAAAGAAAGCAAGATAAACACGGGGAAATAGAGAGTGGGGGAGAGAGAAAGAGAGAGGGGAAGAGGGGGGTGGAGAGAGAATTATTATAGAGAGACTGATATAGTAGAGAGAGAGTGGGACAAGAATGAGAGAGAGGGCGAAAGAGAGAGAGAGAGAGAGAGAGAGAGAGGGGGGGTAGGCGCCTTTTCAATAAATCTACAAACCGTGATAAAGGAATCAACAAGTATTAAAAGGAAATTTTACCCTGATGATACACTAAGATTGTTAATAGGAATAGAAAATAGGAACAAATTCTTTCTTTGTTTGAGGAAAATCCAATAAAACGGAAGAAAGTGATGAATGATTAAAGTTTAAATAGATCAAACGCAAAGTGGCAAATTCTGTGACTTACCTTTCAGAACCTTCCCCATTTCCTCTATACTACAACAAAAAAATCATAGGCCCGAAATTCAATTTCTCTGAAGAAAATATGAATATACACTCTCACACGTTTTACACAATCCATTCGTGAACAAAAAAAATGCGACTGCGTTCTCTAGCAGTGGCGGCGATTTCTTTTCATGACCGGGGGGGGCGAAATGAGAGGGACGAGGGAGCATAGTGAACGAGAGACGTGGGAGTGACGGAAATAGCTACCGCCTCACCAGTGGCGTAATGAGCAAAAACGTCTGTGGGGGCAGAAAAAAACATCCGCCACCAGTTCACCACTCTTACATGTTACATGCAGGCCCCACAGATCGTTTTTCAAAGTGTGGGGGGGGGGTGCTAAAGTATTTACGATCATGTAGAGGGTAGTGAGCACAGTGTGTGACGTTTTTTTGTGCAGGTCACCAATTTACGTGGTATCCAGGGGGCGGAGCCTCATTAAGCTCAGTGATTGTAGGCATTTAATTATGATCAGATGAGTATTCAGGGGGCCGCCTTAGGGCCCGCTGGTGGGGTCCAGGGGGCGCCAGTCCGGAAGCTCAAGGGATTTAGGCATTAAATTAGGGTAAGATGAGTTTAATTTGATACCTCATTTGTGACACTGGCAGATCACTTTTCTTTTTTTCTTTGTTTCTTTCTACTTCTTTATAACATACTTTTTAAAAATTGACCTCCAGTCAAATATCATGCATTTTTTTTTATTCATTTTTTATTCCTCCAAATAAACAGAACACAAAACATCAATAGCAAGTTCTTGAATATATTTATGTTTATGCATCATATAGAAAGATGTTCCATTACAGAAAGGAAATTACATATACATAACAATTTACATCAGATGATTGTAAACTGCGTATACGAACAATAACAATTTGAGGTTTTTAAACTAAGATAAAAAGAAAACAAAAACAAAAACAAACAAACACCCTCTATCCCCAACCTACCTACTAAACAAATATTTAAAAAATGATATAACCTTAACCCCTTTACCCCTAACCCCCCCTCCCCCCCCCCCCCTCCACCTAACCCACCCCTGCATACTCCCTCGCTCCACCTGCCCCGGAAATCTGCTCACATTCCTTTCGAGATTTTTTTTACAAATACATAATTCTCAATACTTTAAAATGTTACCAGCTCACGGGGGAAACATCGCGTATAAAGGGTTTATTCTATACTGCCTTACAAATTAAATCTTATTCTAATTTTACCTTTTTCCATATTTGTAAGTGTAACCATAATTTCCAATTTCTAATTGCTATTTTCTTTTCTTGATCCTTATAATCTAATAAGAATTCTTGTATTTTATCAATGGTTGGTATTACACCCTGTTTTCTAAATACAAATAAAATATATTTTACCATGAAAATGATTGTTACAACTATTTATTCTATTTGAATTACCTGACAATCCAACAAATAGCGAATCGCCCGTCGCCTCTGTGTATTTCGAGCGTAGTGACAATCTAAGATTATCTAACAAATATAAATTATCTCACCAATTTAAGTCCTATATTTCATCCAACTCAAAACCTTGTATCAAAGCTTGCCATATCATTTTAACATTTAAACAAAAACAAAACAAACGTGAATATGTTTCCCTTTCCTGTTTACAGTACGAACATATATTATATTCAACAAATCCAAATCTAGAAAAACGATCTTTAGTATAAATTGCCCCATGCAGTAATTGAATTGAAATTCTCTCTGCCTCCCTGTCATTAATATTATTCTTGGTCTTAAAAAATATTTACTCGTTTCTTTATCATTCTGCATAATTCGAATTATTTTGCCCATCCCTTATCTGTAAATCATATGAAATTGCAATTCTCTAATAAAATAATCATATATTTTTCTTGATGGTACTTCCTTAAAGCTTTTTTTCCCCAAAAAAGTCTAGATCTAAGTTTAAACTAAAACATGTGTGTGCTACTATGCTTATCAACTAGGGGACCTACGGCCTTAAGTCATAACTGGCAGAAATGAGCATGGATGCAAAGATACTAAAGATCGTTTTTCTAGATTTGGATTTGTTGAATATAATATATGTTCGTACTGTAAACAGGAAAGGCAATAATATAGCACATCGACACGGTTTTGATCCTGGGGTCTCACAGTTACGAGGCAATTGCTTTGCAACTGAATCATGACTGTACGCAGGGAGGGCTAGCGTAGGGGGCAACCCCCATAAATTAAAAAAAAATCAAAATACAATAAATTATCAATAATTCATTGCATTTTGCACCGGTTCCCAATATTACAAAAATCTTCTGTGTGGTCGTGCCTTGAACTATAATGCATCGCCGTAAAAGGGAATTTTTTTCACCGTACCACTGTCAAAGTAACAAGAGGTCACCAGTTCAAACTACAAAAGAAAAACGTAAATTCTAAATTGAGGCAGAGCTCTTTTTCACAGAGAATAGTAAACGAATAGAATGATCTCCCATCATATGAAGCAAAAGGTCCATCATTCAATTCTTTTAAATCAAATCTTGACAAGTACTGGTCACTGAAGAAGGACAAGTTTAATCCTAATGAATTATTCAACTGTCCATGTTCATCCGTTACTGCACAGCGCCAAATTCAAGAGTAACCTACTAGCGGTCACCGATGGTAAAATAAGTTCTGTCATGATCATGATGAATCTCATTCACCATAAACAGAATAAGAAAGCTCACAACCTATTTTTCATTCTTACGAGAACTTAACTTTCTTGTCCCTATGCTCCCATTCTACGGGCGATCAAGGAGAGGGACTTTCGATTTGATTACAGTGAACATTTTCTGCACGCGGGAATCCTCTTTGCTTTTCTTGTCTGTTTGTTCGTCTTCTTTAGCTCCTCCACTGGAATCCCCACTGTCTCGTTTATTGTCATGCGCTGCCATTTGCCCATCTTCAGGGGAAGGGGCCGCACCTTCACAGGGAGAGAAAAGGTGTGAGAGAGAGAAAGAGAGGTGTGAGAGAGAGAAAGAGAGAGAAAGAGAGAGAGAGAGAGAGAGAAAGAGAGAGGGGAAGAACATTTATACTTCATCGAAATAAGCTTACTCCAATGTATAGTAAACTTGACTCAAAAGAAGTAGATTGAATTACTTTTTAGAGTGTATTCCACTAGTTTGAACGTCCACTCCCTTAGGAAGCGGTAACGCCCCAAATAATGGATTTCTTCTATCTGATGTGCGTGATGTATACTCCAAAACGAAGTGATCCCTAATATGACTCTTAAAAGAATGGATTTCCACTATTTTTAAGCGTGAATTTCCAATAGAAGACGAAGTGATCCCTAATATGACTCTTAAAAGAATGGATTTCCACTATTTTTAAGCGTGAATTTCTGATAGAAGACGAAGTGATCCCCAATTATGACTCTTAAAAGAATGGATTTCCACTATTTTTAAGCGTGAATTTCCAATAGAAGACGAAGTGATCCCCAATTATGACTCTTAAAAGAATGGATTTCCACTATTTTTAAGCGTGAATTTCCGATAGAAGACGAAGTGATCCCTTATATGACTCTTAAAAGAATGGATTTCCACTATTTTTAAGCGTGAATTTCCGATAGAAGACGAAATGATCCCTAATATGACTCTTAAAAGAATGGATTTCCATTATTTTTAAGCGTGAATTTCCGATAGAAGACGAAGTGATCCCTTATATGACTCTTAAAAGAATGGATTTCCACTATTTTTAAGCGTGAATTTCCGATAGAAGACGAAGTGATCCCTTATATGACTCTTAAAAGAATGGATTTCCACTATTTTTAAGCGTGAATTTCCGATAGAAGACGAAATGATCCCTAATATGACTCTTAAAAGAATGGATTTCCACTATTTTTAAGCGTGAATTTCCGATAGAAGACGAAATGATCCCTAATATGACTCTTAAAAGAATGGATTTCCACTATTTTTAAGCGTGAATTTCCGATAGAAGACGAAGTGATCCCTTATATGACTCTTAAAAGAATGGATTTCCACTATTTTTAAGCGTGAATTTCCGATAGAAGACGAAATGATCCCTAATATGACTCTTAAAAGAATGGATTTCCACTATTTTTAAGCGTGAATTTCCGATAGAAGACGAAATGATCCCTAATATGACTCTTAAAAGAATGGATTTCCACTATTTTTAAGCGTGAATTTCCGATAGAAGACGAAGTGATCCCTTATATGACTCTTAAAAGAATGGATTTCCACTATTTTTAAGCGTGAATTTCCGATAGAAGACGAAATGATCCCTAATATGACTCTTAAAAGAATGGATTTCCACTATTTTTAAGCGTGAATTTCCGATAGAAGACGAAGTGATCCCTAATATGAACCCTAGAAGAGTGTTTTTCCACTCCCAAAGGAAGTGATTCCTAATATAACCGCACACAATAATGGATTTTCGACTATTTCATGTACGTTGAATTCTCCTCCGAAATGAAAATGATTATTCATAATGTGTCTTAAAAGAGCGGATTTCCACTATTTGAAGCTTGGATTCTCACTGATCAAATATGACTCCTAAAAGAATGTACTTTACTATTATCTGTTGTACCAGTTACAAACATATTTTACAGATATTGAATAGACTGTTGTTTTGTTTCTTATGGAATTCCCCAAAAGATCAAATTAAAAGTAATGTAATTATAAATGATATTGAAAATGGTGGATTGAATATGATTAATATTGATAGTAAAAGATCTTCAATTCGTTTGGCATGGAGGTCTCACTTCTTTAATGATAATGGCTCTAATTGCAAAAATATGTTAAGAAACTGGTCAAACAAAATAGGGGTTTGCCACTTTGTTTACAGTTCAATTGTAATTTAAAAGATATTAATTTATTATGCTCTAAACAAAACTTGCCAGAATTTTATGAAGATCTTTTTTGTACTTGGTCAGAATTAAGACTCATTGATATGTTTAAAGTAAGAAATATTCCAAATGAAATTATAATATTCTACTTACAATAAAAGCAGGAAAATCAGACACACTAATCAAAAAAAGTTTGAGCAACACCTGATAACTCATAAGAAAGTTATGAATTTTTGATGACATGAAAAACTTTAAAGATCACAAGACAGATCGGCAACTCACTCATGAGTCCGTGACGTCATTGCCTCACTATTCACTAATTGTTTTCTTTATATTGATAATATATATTTCCTATATTCCCTCTAAGAATCTTATTTCCTCACACCAGCATCCAAGTTAGATTGATAGTAATATGTTTTTGTGTGGATGCACTAATATAGAGTACTTTTTTAGTTAAATAATGAAAAAATTGAATTTTGATACTATTTATATAAAAATCAACAATTATGAATATGCAATATTCAGAAAATAGTATCAATTCTTCAAAGTTCATAAAAGATTATGTAAAATTTCATGCACGCAATATGATACAAATCATATAACTTGGGCAAATGCATGGGGAAATCAAGTTTTGGGGATAAAAAGGGAAATTAATGGAATTAAAATATATAAAGTAATTGATAAATGATGAGGACATGACGTCACAAACTGATAACCAAATTGGCAATTTGTGTAGTGATTTCCATGTTTCCAGGGTCACAACATACTTTTTCAAAAATGCATAACTTTCTTATTAGTTATCTGATTTTGCTCAAACCTTTTTTGATCGGTTTGTATGATTTCGCTTGAGAAAAAGAGAAAAAAGATACTCCCATATTAAGTCCTATACAAATGTGACTATTAATATTATTTGTATTGTTGTTATTATTGTTATCATTATTATCGTTATTATTATTATAATTATCATCATCATCATTGTTAATAGTATTTATTTCCACTCTTGTACGTTTAGAGAGTAGGCCTATGATAGAATTCCAATATTCACCTGTGACGTCATCCAGCGATGGAATATCAACTTCCTCATGTTTGCCCCTATCACCCAGCTCTTTCACCAGTTCGGGTAGAGTCTTCTTCATAAGGCTATCAGAATACAAGGGGAAATATTTATCCATCCCCATCAGGGCGCCAAGCCATCCTTTGGGTTCGAAGCCCTCTTCAAGCATCAAAGGGACGATGTCTTTCTTTTGCTTGTACGCGTATTGTGCTTCTGTGGATGGTGAGAGAGGGGGAAGGAGAGGGGGAGAGGGGGAGGGAGAGGGGAGGGAGAGGGGGAGGGAGAGGGGAGGGAGAGGGAAGGGAGAGGGGAGGGGAGGGAGAGGGGAGGGAGAGGGGGAGGGAGAGGGGAGGGAGAGGGAAGGGAGAGGGGAGGGGGAGGGGAGGGAGAGGGAGAGAGAAAGAGATGAACATTAAAAGAAGACGTCAATAATTGTAAGTCTTGTCATTCCTCTGTCCGGGGGGGGGGGTCAACTATATTGATGTATACACCCGCGACCAAAAAGAAAAAAAGAAAGAAAAAGTGTACAATTGTCGAGTTTGTTAAAAACGCATGGGGTACCATTGCCTGGACTTGTGTTTTCATACACTTTATAAAGTGCAATAAATGATATCGATAATAGATATTTTTAGTAAATATTTCTAAGACCTTGTTTTGAGGATAATTATGTTGGAGGAGTTAAACTTGTCTAGGGGGTAAATTTTTCGAGAAAGAGCGCACCCCCCCCCCCACACACACACACACACACACCCTCGAAAAGGGTGTGATTTTGACCAATGGATAAAGCTTGTTGGGTGCGGGTGGTAGAAAACATGTGGTCACGAGTGTGTACACCATATAGTCTGATCCCCCCTCCCATGTTCCTCTTGTTGCCCAGCTATTATAGTTCGAAAGATTATACAATCACTTACATCAGCGTTATGCAAATACTTTGAACTATATTCGGGAATGCATCAAGCACGGTGGGTTTCGAAGTATGGTTGTTTGTCTCACAATCTCATATTTTTAAAGATTCGTCGTTTCCATTCATGGTGATTATTTTATAGACCCACATTGAATTTTAGACTGAACTGAAATAATGTCCTCACAATCATCGCCGACCCTCAATAATATTTTAAAACCTGCATAATGTATTATTTGATAATGCAAAAATGGGTAAAAATAAACGTTTCCATTCCAATAATCACTGACTTTTAGACTGACGTGAAAATGAAATTACTCACCCGTGCGGCAGTTTTGACTCTCACTGTATTTCTGAGTTGCGCAAACTAAGACAACGGAAGCATTCTGTACTGCTTCGGCCATGGTATCCAGTATATTGCCCTCTGTTGGTGTAAAGCAGGAGAATATGATGCGAACTGGTGTGTTTTATCGAAAAAGGGGTTCTTTTATTTTTCTAAAAAGATATTCCAAAAATAGACATACATGTAAACATGAATAATTATGCTATTTATTTAGTACTATGAATTGATATATAAATACTTGTATAAATATGATATGTATGCACCCCACACAAACAATGTAAAATTGTAGCTTAATTTCATATCATAATGAGAAAAAAGCGAATCAGAAGAAGTTTTATGTTAACTCCACAATTTATTAACAAAACGGTAATATTAACATTCCTATACATGTGAACCAATTTCTCAAAATATCACATAGAACACATAAACAAAACATTCAAACTTCAATAAACACACTTGGATAACAGTACTGATCTAAACAAAGGAGGCATTGTTTTATCCAAAGACAATAAATAAATATAAAAATGAGAATGAGAATTTTTATCTGCAAATTCAAAAACCAAGAAGGTAAACAGAACTTCAAAAATGTTTCGAATCAATACTTGATTTTAACTGATTTATTTTACCATATATCAAATTTGAATCCCATTAACTAGTTATTCTGCCTTTCAAACCATAATTTGATATGCTGTTTTTTTTCCTTGTTTTTGTTTCTTCACATTTATACAAATATCATATTTTTGAAATGGGGTTTGCCATTGGTATGCCTGTGGCCTTTGCAAATCCAACCTTATCTGATTTTTTAGTGTTTTGATTTTTGTCATTATTGTTCTTTTTATTCAGATGTGAAAATAAAGTGAATTGAATGGAATATATTCTTACGCATCTGGTCCACATCCATCCATACATTGTAGCCATGTTTCTCCAGGTATTTCTTGACCTTAAGCATCCGTTTCTGAATGTCCCATTGATAGCTGACCATGATATGTTCCCTGTCCGAAGATTGCCGATCAGAGCCGATGGCCTTCGGCGACTTCGGGTTTCCTTTCGACTCCTCGTCGTCATCGCATTCGACAACGTCATTAACGAGGAAGAGCGCACCCGAGCATGCTTCCCGAAGACCTAGATTCGATGTCGTTTTCTTAATCCTCTTCAGTGCTGTAATCAAGGAGTAGATATCATTATACACTTCGGTTGCTATGCCTCTCGATCTGCACAGTCGCCTGTTTACCATAATCCAAATTGGCACACAACTATAATGGGCCATGTTTGTAATGTAACCAAATTTAATACTACATAAGTATTTGTGAAATGCCTCAATACAAATTATTTCATTCACCTGATTAGAATGATAGTATTTCAATAGTCAGAATGCAAACTGCATTATATCAAGTGTTGCTAGGTAGGGCAAGTCATAATGTTTGTCCTACCTGGCAACAACAAATATATGCAATTCGGATTATGTCTATTGAAATACTATTATTCTTATTAGGTGAATGAAGACTTCACAAAGGCTTATGTATTAAATTTGGTTACATTACGAAAATGGACTATTGAGGGAAGGATTGTTTTGTGCAAGAATGGCTTTGGAAAATTACCAGTTTCCGGTCAGGACTAGCTCCAAGACGATCCTTTCAACACTGCAGGATATAAATTAATCTTGCACTGGAAATGGTCAAATAATCTTGAAACCTTTATTTATCCCATAACAAATACAATGCGACACATGAAGGTTATGTGAGTGGCATAAGAAAAGGGTTGACATTGAGTACAGCAGTTGTTAAATGATTCCAATTGGCAAAGAAGTTAAAGATGGAATATTCATAACCTTAGAATTCAATAATACACATTTTCAGGCTGTCAAAAACAACCTGTTTTTGTAAAAGTATGAATAAAATGTGAATAAGTCAGTAAACCGGCTTATTAAGACACTGGCCCGATTTCTGAAGTCGTGTCTAATTTCTGTTTAAATAAACAGTTATTTAACTTTAGACATGAGTTAGACACGACTTCAGAATACGGGCCATTGTATTTACTTACTTGTTAGGAAGGTTTTGATTCGGCGTATCTTGGCTTTGTTTTCTTCTTTAAACGCCAGCTGCCATATGCCTCTCGCAGCCAAGAGCCTCTCCTCATCACTCGAGCCCCCTTCTGCCAGGATTCGCATCAGTAAGTCCAGCCCACCGAGTTCCGCTATGAGCAGCTTGTTGCTTTCGTTGACTGCCAACTGGTTGATACCCTTGGTGATCTCCAGCGCCGAGTAGTGGTACCTGCTTGGAGGTTTCTTCTTAGATTTACTCATGGAGGATTTCATGTGCACCATCAGGAACTTCACGCATGGCTCGTTAAGAGCCAGTCTATGCGCTTCCAATTTATCCACGATGTAAGAAAGGGCCAGGAAAGCGTCCGCCTGAATGTCAGGTGTCGCAGACAGCGCAAGGTCTTGGAGGACGTCAATATACTCTCGGCAAATGATTCGACTTCCGGGAACCCTCCAGCAGCAATTGTAAACAATGGTAAGCGCAGTTCTCGTGAGATCATCATCAAGCTTTCCTATCTTGAGATCCTCCATTACCATTCGCACAAGATCCCTTTCGCCAAATACATGACACATCTCGTCCGAAAGAACTGTAATTTTTACAATACACTCCAACAGACCTGATAGCTTCGTTGTGTCAATCACAGAAGATGTGTTGCCTTTTACTGTACTTTTCCACGCTAGGGTAAACACCTCAAAGATCTCGCCACGAGACGTTAAGTTTCGGGTCACAACAGTTTTAACATTGCCTAGTGACAGGTCAGTGATGTCTTTGAATATTACCCAGTCATCGGTCTTTGTAAGAGTCTTCAGATCTCGCTTCCGTTTAAATGCTTCTAAGTATGTATCGACCTTTTCACAACACTCTTTAACTTTCAAGTCTTCCTCCTCTGTCAGGTCTTGTTGTAATTCCATTATGGCGACTTTAAACAGTCTTCAGATCCCGAAGCCGTTTAAATACCTCCAAATATTTCCCGACCGTTTTTCACAATATTCTGTAACATTTGGATCTTTCTCCTTTGTTGGACTTACCCATTTATGAGTTATCCCTTACTTTGCAGACCGTGTTCATTGTGATATCCAGCTAGTCAACCAAGTCGTCAGCTGGTGTAACCAAATAGACAGGTACTTATTTATTTGTCAATTTTTGTCGTCATTCTACAACGGGAGCTTGAAATTTGACAAGATGATGAACACGAGTCAGGCCTATGATTTATTCGACATCTAATGTGAAGCGCATTCTATTCTTATTCACGAACTCTAATCTAAGGTAACTCATGACTCATAGTACAATCCACAGTACGCGAGGAAACAAGGACTGGCGCAGAGCTTCCGCTCGAAAGGTCAGGTCATATACTTCTTAAGTCATTTTTTTTAAAATTTCGAATTCATTGTTAGAAAGCAAAGAAATACCCAGTGTTATGTTGTCACAATCACATTCACCAAAATCTTAATACTCTCGAAGAATGTTTAGTTACCAAGGAGAATACTCCATTAACAAAATTCCACATGATTATTATTCCTTCCTAGTCTGATATGGCTGCTTTCTTGTACATTTTTTAAAGAATGAATTCTAAGTTTTATATAAAGCCGATGACATACTAGTTTATCTAGTAATTTATTTGTTAGACCTCCTTTAGTTCCGACGTTATCTAATTCGATCATTTAACGAGTTTAACTATTTCTAATCGAAGTAATTCTTAAATAATGTGCACCCCTCCCCCCCCCCCCCCCCCCATCATTGGGACATATTCATTTCACTGCCTCGTTGTTGTTGTTGCTGTTGTTGTTATTTGCGTTATTCTTTTTGCCGATGCTGCAGGCCTACTATAGGGTGTTGTTTTATGTTAGGGTTGTTGCTTTTAAAACATTTTAAGGGTGTACTTGGGGTGTAGTTTTTGTTATTGTAAAATATGTCTCTCTCTCTCTGTTTAATTATTCATTCGTGTATAGTGACTGTCGATATCATATTTCTATATAGTTGTATCATATTCTGGGCCCCCTCTAGATCGGTGGAACAGCGCCACCATATTGGTGGATGCTGAGTAGGGATATCATGCCGTTTATCTCTTATAGTATCATGTGTACATAATACTTGTGTAATGTTTCTGTTTTTGTATTTCTTTTTATACGGACATACATTCAAATCAAATCATATCAAATGTTTCGTTGTAGGTTCATTGTGGAATCTGTGTACATTGTTGATGCTGTTCTTAACAACTCAAAATACGACTGACTCAATTAAATGTGCACGTACTTTGGACTCCATGGAAGAACAGAGCCGTTAGGTTAATTGCACTAAAATGGACTATCCAACCGTTTTATCATTGTTATATAAGCCTTTGATTTTGTTATATTGTGTTATTGTTTTGTATGATGATTTTCGGAATTAAAACAAACAAACAAGGCGTGATTTTGCATATTTTGTTGCGCCCTTTATAAGTTTTGCCATGCTCGTGCCCCTACCCCCCCCCCCCTCCCCCCTCCCCCCGTAGATACCCCACTGGACACACGTTTTTAGTATAAACAGAGTTCCTATTCAAAGAATTGCTTTATGTATAGAGAAGGAGTACAGTATTAGCAAGCATTGAAATGAGCACGATTATACTTTCAAAAGGGGCACTTTTTGTTTTGTTTAATTCAGGGCATTGTCTTCCCTACTCCCAGATTCCCTGCCGTTGTGGTGGTAGTTCCCAAACAACAAAACTGTGTAAAGAGCGAGCCGCCGCTTCTTCTTAACCCAATAAATGATAATTATTTAAACCATGAGATACATTATTTTCTTTTTCTACTTCTAACTGTCTGACACGTGTTTTTTGTGGCAATTTTCAATTTTATTGTAACTGAATAGTCTAGAATTTATGATTCTAAATAGTTCATGTTGCAATAGTTCTGAACAGTTGTCTGTTGTAAAATATTTAATCTTAGAAGATTTAAACAAATCTTTGTTTTAAATATCAATAACGCTTATTCATAAACTGACAAATTTTCATTTCACATTCATATTGAAATATCAAACAAAATCAGATAATACATTGGAAAGTCTAAACAAAGGTTTACCAGGTTTAATGTCTGGCGTAATTGTATACGGGTAGCCAAAAGGGCGTTAATTCTATAGGTAACAGAGCCTGAAATTAGCATCCTTTGATAATGTAATTTTCAAAACTGTTATAGGATTAATTATGAAGATTCTTATTTAATAGGGTAGTTATGTACCTGTCATAACGGTAACAGACCTGCTCTATTAATGGTTATACGTCACTCAAATCTCATCTTTACATTCTAAAAACTGAAGTGTTGAATGTCAATTTAAAAGGGCCGAGGAGTGACCACTCTTTCAAAATGGCAGATTGTTTCTTTTAACATGCTGGATTCAACCTTTATAGTGTTGGATCGAGCATGTTCAAAGTGTTAATTTACCATATTGAAAGAGAAGTCACTCCTCGGCCCTTTTAAATGGTGATTTAACATTTCAGTGTTAGAGTATTATATTATTATTATTAGGGACAGGCCTGTGATAGGCCTTTGGCCTAATTTGACTCTGATAATGCTTTTTCTTATTTCTATCTATTGTAATTTTGTATGTTTAGTAAAATGTGTCACTTAAAGATAACCCTCGTGTAATCATATATGCTTTTGTAAGTATGTTAAATAAAATACCCTTATTTATACATAAACCTATGAACCGGGACCTACATAAATACAAGCTTTGCTTTTTAGTAGATCCCCCACTTTATTGATTGATTTATATGATTGTATTCTCTGTTACAACTATTTCATGTACATTATGTTTTCTATTTTGTATGTTTAGTTATAATCTTACCATTGTTCATTATGTTCAATTATGTTATCTTTGATAAAGTGAAATAAATAAAACTTAAAACTTGAAACTTGAAACAATCAATTTCATTGATGTTGAATTTCTTTATACCTTTATTACATTGCTATGTAGTTTGTTAGTATGTTCTTATTGTCATTTTGTATCGAATTGTGGAAAGAATAAATTGAAATTGAAATTTCTATAAATATATACCTCAGCTTTATTTTGTCATCTGTTACTGTTTGCTATCACTACATATTAGTCATGCTGGGCGTCAGAAGCTAAAGTGTGATTTATGAAATCAAAGCCTTTCTGGCTTTCAGCAGCAGAAATACCCAATCATATTGTTAAGGCCACACTGCACTACTTATAGCTACTTGCTCCCTCTATATAACAAGCAATGCATAATCGGTGTCCATTGTTCCCCCATGATCCTCTTTTTCTTATGTTAATTGAGAGCTGATTTGATGAGATAACCACCGTGTCCAGTGACCTTGTAGGATAGTGTAATCCCTCCTGTTCACTAGTATTTAAAGTGATTATGCACGGTTATTTTTAATAATTTATTTATTTATTTTATTTCCAGGCAAGATGATAACATACAAAGCATCACAAGGTTGACAAAATGATATAACATTAACATAATGATATTTAGCACCAGCCACTGATGCCTGGGGATCACCTAATATCTGTCTAGAGGCTCTCCACATTAGCCGGTACATACATAAAACAAAATATGAAAGATAAGGTCAACATATTAATGAATGTGTAACTAAAATTAACCCTCATATGAATTTGGTACATTAATGAACATATTGGAAGCATATGCGATTTTACAATATTCAATGATCGTTGTCGCGGTTGAAATCGAGTCTAAAGGGATGAAATTGTTAATAATAAACTCTTTATGTCATATAGCGCCCTTTCAAGGTCAATATATTACTTTAGCTTTAAAATAATGTTCCAGTCTTGACTACAATCGACCGATTTGCTATTCCCGGTATTATTATCAGAACTGCATATTCTGAGATTTTCATCGGGTCGCAGCTACCATGGAATGGCCTTAGGCGCTATTTGAAATTTTTGAAATTTACCGGTAAATTTTTGATCATTCATTCTCGAAAGCAGAAGTGTTTTAGGGGCTAATGTATACGGTGCTTTTAATACATCCACAGGGGCATCCAAATATATACAAACTTTAAAGAATTGCTATCCATCCAGTTTTCGAAATTTCCCCAAACTTTGCATTTGCATTACCTTTAAAGAAGAGAATCGGAACACGAGTCTGGGGACACCTTTTAGAAGAAATTAGGGTCACTTATCAAAACTAACAAAATTATGACACTTGTCAGATTTCAAGAGTCTGTGCAGCATGCACACTTATTCGTTATCACTTGACTTGAAATTTATTTTATTCTTGTCATGCATGCCGCGTAATATCTGCATGCAGCATGCTAGTACTGGGTAACATTATCTGTAAAGCACTTCCCGAGGGTAGGCCGCGCCGACGATAACAACGACGATGAATGTGCCATCAAATCTTCTGTCTTGAAACTGGGAGTGAAATTATGAAGAAAAGATGAGGACAAAGTTGCGATACGTGTTGCTGATCGGATCTGCAGTCCTGCTGCTTTGTTTTATGTACCTGCATTCTGGTTTAAAACATCCCGACGTCGATTCGAGAGGAGTTGATAAAGATGCTGACTCGGCTCGGAGAAGGTAAGTTGGCTCGCACCCTCACCGCTTCCTTCCCCGTAACTTCCCCATTCAGCGAGGGGTTGGGTTTGCTCGTTCGAGCGGCCTTAGGCCTTGGCTATAGCTCTATGCAGCTGCAGGGGCGGTTTTCTGAACCCGGTGTTTTCTCTAATATTGTTGTATCTTTGAAGATAAGACAAAGTTGGGGCGCTAGTTCAGAAGTCTATCCATACTTCTGAACTAGCGCCCAAAGTTGGTATTCTGAAAATTGTTGTATTTTGTAACCTTTGAGTTTGACTTTTTGTTGTATCTTTTCTCTCATTTCTTTGGCCGTGCCTGAACTCAAACTGTTTTGTGCGCTTGTATTTTTTGTGCATATTATTTACAAAATGGTGCTTAATCCTCATTTGCATATGCCATTATGACAAGATAATTGGTATTCTGGGTATAGACTAGGAGTGTCTATTGACTATTGTTTTTAGAGGACCTAAATATGCTACCTAAATGTAGACCTATAACCAAGATCTAGACGGTCTATAATATATTTTGAGAAGAAACTTACCATAAAAACAGAAGGTAATGATATTTTTGTACAAAGCAAATTGCGAGAGTTATCCGCGTCCTATGTACGTCACATTTCACCGACCAAACTACCAATTTGAGATTCGCATAGACTTAGTGATCTCATATTTCAAACATTCATAACTTCCTTTTAGTCCGCTTCATTTCAAACTTTTGCCATTCTGTTTCTTTTATTTTTCTGCTTTCATACAAATCAACTTATTACACGTACAAGAGTTGGATTGCCCTTAAAATATTTTCCCTCTGCCATAGTTTGTGTACTTATGGGTAGAAATCAGTACGAGAATACACCCGACGGTGGCCTGTACTTATAGCGAAGAAGAAGAAGAAGAAGACAAGCAAAGACATAAAAGTAATAAAGACAACAACAAATACATGTAAGTTCATCATTTTAGGGATGCCTTTTCAATCCCGAACTCTTTGACAGGTGAAAAGACAAATAATAATGTTGATAACCATGAAATATGTGCAACAACAAACATAGGCCTAGTGTACAGATGATGTACTGTAGATGCTACAAATGTAAAGTGCAGTGTGGTTTGATATTAAAATATGCTTAAAAAACCCATATATTTGAACAGTATCCATTCTACCAGTATTTTATTTGATTGCTTTCCACTCATTCATCCCTACAGTGTATGTTAATTGTTATACACAAATAATTTGTTTTTAAAGATGCTTGGTTCCCAACCAAATACGCATTTTATCTATGCACAGAGTGAAGAAACATGATCACTACAATGCTAATACTGGCCTTTTGCTGGGCCATGCTATAGCCGATGTAATAATTGTGGAATGCCAGGGGGTGTTTTACAAAGACTAAGATCGACTTTTAGTTGGACTTAACTACCGTATGGCAGGCCGTTCATGCCACTAGTTGCTCTCGCCATTGCCCATTGGTCTCCCAATTATGATCTTTAGATTATATTTTTTCCTTCAAAAATGAATTATCAAAAAATGTAAATTCTGTAGATTTGTGACCATGATTTGTAAGTCCCTTTTGATAAAGACTGATGCCAGCAAATGGTGAGAGCAAATAGTAGCATGAACGGCCTGCCATAGTTAAGTCCAACTTAAAATCGATCTTAGTATTTGTGAAACACCCCCCTGTAGTTCTGGAGTGTCAAGTCTGACAGACATGAGCGTAATACAAGAAACCACTATTATTATTATTACACATGGCTTGTATTAAGAAGTCACTTGGCCTATTGAATTGAGGTCCTGACAGAGAGGGAAAAAAGGTTTATGATGTATGGAAAATAAATTAACTGTCTGATATTCATTAGAAAGGAAGAAGTGGTCAAAGTGTAAGGAGGAAATGTCTAGTTGAAGGCTGTCTGTTAAAGGCATGTATCATACATATACACATCATGTACATGTTGTAGTTGCTTGAATACTACCCCCCAAAAAATGCAAATTTTCATGTTAAAGGGAGTGTATCATGGCAAATACTGGTTAACGCCATCTACAATGTACATCTTCTTTTAGACAACTGTACGTAAACGAATGGATTTGATTAACTGGGTCAGCGCACGCTAGGTTCGCGAAACAGACTGAAGTTCTCCTCACGCTTCAGTTTCACTTATGTTGCACGCAGATGAATGCTGTGGTCGAGTTGTCCGTAGTCGTATTATACATTACCTGATTGGCCCCGGGTAGAGGCACGGGAAAGACACATACAATGTAGTCTCGTCATGACACACTCCCTTTAAGAGATTCATTTACTGTAAGACCAAATTGGAGGTGTCTCGGTCTAGTGGTTCATTCACTTGACTCTCAATCCAAGGATTAAGGTTCAAATCCCAGCCTGGGTCTAACATCCTTTAGTAAGACATCAATCCATTTTTGCCACTCTCCACCCGAGTGTAAATGGGTACCCATTTTTACCCAATATATGCCAGAGCGCTACATACATGTACATGTGCCGCCAGCTGTGATCAGGGTTTCATGTTTGAGGGCCAAGAGTGTCACAAGGTGAAAGACATGAGCGCCTTAAAGGGGCATGTTCCCCGTATTCCAGAGGGCGTTCAAAATACGTACCCGCTGGCGGACGGTGCTAGCTGCCTATTGACACCAACAGAATACGGCCCTTACGCAGATGGCATGTTCCGAATGCCCGCACAATGCCGATTATTGCATGTTCATGTGCCAAAGTCATACCAATCGCAGTTCGGCTCTAAGATTCTGCTGCTGTTTCCACCCACTTTCGTGACGTCACTATCGACAGCGATCAGCTGGCTTGGCGAAGGCAGGCCAGGCCATGCTTTGATTGACAGCTGTATGCAAATGAGAAGTCGATCTTCGGAACCAAGATGGCGATGACTAGAGCAGCGATAACTATACTGGCGGAAACGTGCCCCTTTAAAAGAAGCCACCATTATTCCTTTTATTTACACAAAGTCACCTCTTTTTTAAAGGATATCATGGTTATTCTTTGTTTTGTTTTTTGTCTTCATTGAAGAAATGAAAGTTATCATTGATCTTGGAGGTTGAGCCTGTTTGAAGTTTGACCAGGAAGTACACGGTACATGTACAAGTGTACATGTTGTGTAGTACATTTTGTGTACTTCTGCATATACTGTACCTCTGAACATATGTAGATGTGGCAACTCTGAAGTGAATTTACATGGTTTCAATAGCTTCTTGCAAGTTTTAAAGGTAAGACTAATTTGTAAGAAAGATATTGATCTTTGAGCCAATGATTCACTAAGCTTAAAACTACACTCCTTATTACTTAAAAGGTTAGTATTTCACTTGATATGTGATAGCCTTCCCCTAATACTGTATATTAAATTACATGAGTCATAATTTGTCTAATGTATACAGTATGCTTACTTGTAATTTTTGATTAAATATTATTTCTGTCTTTATTTCTATTGTCTTCTACATTTGTATCTTAATTTTGAAATGTTTGTAAAGTGCATTGGTATTACCTTTGGTAATTATATGCGCTATATAAGAGCTAACTATTATTATTATTATATTATCTCATGAGACAAATACTGTAGGTGTTACTGTATTTCTCTTACTCTCTTTAGGGTATTAGTACTAGAGAACAATGAGTAAATACATGTAATTTATCATACATGGCAGGTTATCAAGTTTTCAATGGATTTTTAGCAGTATTCATTGTAATTCATTGTAGAAAATAAATTCCCAGATTTAAAGTTGACCAATCCTAGAAATAGATTGACATGAGTTCAGCCTTTCTGTGATCTCCTTTAAGCAAATTTATGATTTTCAAATAAAATTGCAGTACCATCTGTTAATATGAAAGTGAAACGTTGAGCTAGAGATTAAATTTCATACTTTTTATTAATCCAAAAAGTTGTTTGAAAAGGTCATAATGCAACAGAGTCATCAATTGTGGTTATCACTCATGGATGAGTTCAGTCACTTCAGTTTTACATTTATATGTTCTTTGTTATTCAATTATATTTTTTATGGAAAAAATGCAGAAATCAAATCAAATCAAATCAAACTTGTAATGAAGATGATTTGAAATTGATTGAATTTATTATTACACATTGTTTTATCAAGACAGAAAGGATAAAACAAAAATGAACAAAGTAGTGTGTACATTTCAAATAACAAAGTAAGATTACTTGTGAAATTATAATTATAATAATAATAATATGTCTTGTTTACCCAGGGTAGCCTCATCAGTATTCATACTGTTCTCCCTGAGGGCCCTGCAATCCTATTATCGCCCTGGTCATCGGATTCAGGCTTACCCACACACGATGTATGCACATTCTCCACTCTCTGGGGAGCATTCCAGACAGGCGTCATTTTTACAAGCGCACACTTGCTAATCTAAGCACATTAGCTTTCGCATCCTACCGAATAATTTCAGAATTCTCCCTTTAATGCTATGTTTTCTCGTTTAAAATTTGCTAGGCTGACTATGATATACATGTACAGTGTGTATCTCTCCATTATTTTATTACATTATAATGAAAGCAAACTTTGCTTCTGCATTGAGAGAATTAGAATGAGGATCATGTAAGAAGTAGACAGTATATTTAAGATGGAGGTTTATTATTTATCAAATTTAGTGTGTAGTGTGTACCATAATACATAGTGTGTGTACATGTACATGTATGTATTTGAATAATTTGACAATAGTCATTTCATTATCCAATTGTTGGGATAAATAACTAACCCCCCCCCCCCCTAAAAATTAAAAAAATAAATAAATAATTAAAACATGTACAGCTAAACAAATCAGATGCAGGTATTTCAAGTCTCCAGGATAAGACATAATATAATATACAGTTGGATGAATTGCCATTTGGTCTACAATCAGTTCGTCTAACTACAGAATTAGTCTAATCCCATAATTTGGTCTACACCCAACCTGTCTTCTATCCTGGTCTAATAATCAGTTAATCGTAAATAATAATCAATTAATCATCAAATGATTAATGCTTAAGGTCTCA